GACCAACAGATGCATATCTGTATTCCCAGTCATGTGAAATCCATAGATTAGAGCCTAAGGAATTTATTTCAATTGACTGATTTCCTTATATGAACTGTAACTTAGTAAAATCTTTGAAATTGTTGCATGTTGCATTTATATTTTTGTTCAGTATATAAAGACCATCTGTCAGTATTGTTTGACTTTGTTTAACCGACCCCAAAAATATATATATATGTTGCACAGAAGCCAGCTCTCTCTTCTCTCTCTGAAGTCTGTTCACACAGTCACATTTTTTGTTCTTCCTGAGATAATTAATATCTCGATGCTTTTTAAGATGTTCAAAGATCGTGTGATCTTGCTGTGCACAGGCAAGTATTTTCTGTTATGACAACATGTAATCATAAATCACAGTCCAGTCCACCACCCTAAACTAAATTCCTCCCCTTATGTTTTTCAGTGGTAAAGCTCTCTCTGAACTCCAGCACTATAAGATGCGAAGTGTGGTGAAGCATGCTAAACTCACAGTCAAGCCACTTTTAGGCACATTAGTGTCCATCATCGGTCAAATAGGCTGACCAGTAAATGGACACGTTTTAATAAATAAATTGCGACCCTTCTTATACACTGAATATAACCATGTGAAACAGTGGAGGCTGGTGAGGGGAGGACGGCTCATAATAATGGCTGGAACGGAGCAAATTGAATGGCATCGGACACATGAAAACCATGTTTGATGTATTTGATACCATTCCACTTATTCCGTTCCAGCCATGACCACGAGCCCATTCTCCCCAATTAAGGTGCCACCAAAGCTTTCCGGAGATAATTATCTCAATTACCTCACAGTGTGATCAATAGATAGCATTAGCGGCCGCATGGAAAGCCTTTGGATGACTTTTCAGGCTGGCTGCGTCGTATGCTTGTACATTTTCCACGTCATTGCCCCTGACACGTTGACTATGAAGACAAGCAGGAAGCCATTAACACAGTAGGAATAATAGAGAGGATGTATTGTAAGAACTTCTTCATTAAATTGGCTCCTTCTTCATTAAAGCTACCTCTGGACCTGCAGTATATTCCTACACAAACAAACCTACTCGTGTTTTTTTGTCATTTTCTTCTATTAACACTCATAAACAATGTGTTTATCTCTGTGTAGAAAAGTATATCTTGTGCATTCTCTATTCAACAAATGGATAGAATTTGGGGGGGAATGTGCCGCCTCTGGTGTCTGACGTTTCTCTCTCTGATATAGAGAGTTAATTGACATGCATGGGAAAAGGTGTAGGCCATAGAGAATGACTCTAGTGCCCAAAAGCCAGTTTTAGAATGGGCAGCGCCATTGAGGACTTTCACCATTTTGAAGTAGTCAACTTGGTGGGATTTCCTATGTGTTAAGGAAGGATCACAGAATTCCATCCAGGTCATCAGGAGGGATCAGCCAATGAATTGAACTCGTGAGTAAACATTCCATAATTGCAGGTGGCAGTAAATCGCCAACCTTGGATTTATACCTGTTAGAACAACACACTCCAGGTGGCAGTATGCACGATTTCAGTTTGTTTACTAACTCATAGAAGTAGTAGTAGAAGAAAATGTGACTACTTCAAAATGGAGATGGCCTCAATGGCGCTGTCCTTGAGCTCACAGCACTGAGCTATAAAATAACTAGAAACAGCGTCCAAGATGGCCGACCATTGTTTTCAACGTAATCCACTCACGTTCACATATGCCGATTCATGGACTGGCTACACTACCGGTCAAACGTTTTAGAACACCTACTCATTCAAGGGTTTTTCTTTATTTTTACTATTTTCTACATTGTAGAATAATAGTGAAGACATCAAAACTATGAAATAACACATATGGAATCATGTAGTAACCAAAAAAGTGTTAAACAAATCAAAATATATTTTATATTTGAGATTCTTCAAATAGCCACCCTTTGCCTTGATGACAGCTTTGCACACTCTTGGCATTCTCTCTACCAGCTTCACCTGGAATGCTTTTACAACAGTCTTGAAGGAGTTCCCACATATACTGAGCACTTGTTGATATGCTGAGCACTTGTTCGCTGCATTTCCTTCACTCTGCGGTCCGACTCATCCCAAACCATCTCAATTGGGTTGAGGTCGGGTCATTGTGGAGGCCAGGTCATCTGATGCAGCACTCCATCACTCTCCTTCTTGGTAAAATAGCCCTTATACAGCCTGGAGGTGTGTTGGGTCATTGTCCTGTTGAAAAACAAATGACAGTCCCACTAAGCGCAAACCAGATGGGATGGCGTATCGCTGCAGAATATTGCTGTGGTAGCCATGCTGGTTAAGTGTGCCTTGAATTCTAAATAAATCACAGACAGTGTCACCAGCAAAGCACCCCCACACCATAACACCTCTTTCTCCATGCTTTACGGTGGGAACCACACGTGCAGAGATCATCCGTTCACCTACTCTGCGTCTCACAAAGACACGGCGGTTGGAACCAAAAATCTCCAATTTGGACTCCAGACCAAAGGACACATTTCCACCAGTCTAATATCCATTGCTCGTGTTTCTTGGCCCATGCAAGTCTCTTCTTCTTATTGGTGTCCTTTAGTAGTGGTTTCTTTGCAGCAATTCGACCATGAAGGCCTGATTCACACAGCCTTCTCTGAACAGTTGATGTTGAGATGTGTCTGTTACTTGAACTCTGTGAAGCATTTATTTGGGCTGCAATTTCTGAGGCTGGTAACTCTAATGAACTTATCCTCTGCAGCAGAGGTAACGCTGGGACTTCCATTCCTGTGGCGGTCCTCATGAGAACCAGTTTCATCGTAGCGCTTGATGGTTTTTGCGACTGCACTTGAAGAAACGTTCAAAGTTCTTGAAATGTTCCGTAGTGACTGACATTCATGTCTTAAAGTAATGATGGACTGTTGTTTCTCTTTGCTTATTTGAGCTGTTCTTGCCATAATATGGACTTGGTCTTTTACCAAATACGGCTATCTTCTGTATACCCCCCCTACCTTGTCACAACACAACTGATTGTCTGAAACGCATTAAGAAGGAAAGACATTCCACAAATTAATTTTTAAGAACGCACACCTGTTAATTGAAATGCATTCCAGGTGACTACCTCATGAAGCTGGTTGAGAGAATGCCAAGAGTGTGCAAAGCTGTCATCAAAGCAATGGGTGGCTATTTGAAGAATCTGAACTATAAAATAAAATAACTATAAATAAAATAAAATATATTTAGATTTTTTTAACACTTTTTTGGTTACTACATGATTCCATATGTGTTATTTCATAGTTTTGATGTCTTCACTACTATTCTACAATGTAGAAAATAGTAAAAAATAAAGAAAAACCCTTGAATGAGTAGGTGTTGTAAAACTTTTGACCGGTAGTGTATATGCGGGCTGCATCCGGTTTACGTCGCCACACTCAACATGCGCACTAGCGCTCACTGCGCACAGGGAGCAGCGCAAGCAACAACGACATCATTATGTAATCCAAAAACATGACAGACGTCAGTTAAATTGCAGCACCGAAGCACGACTGCAGGTGCAGTCGAAAGCTTGCTTCCAGACCGGAACCCTGGCCCATTGGGTCACAGATACAAAAAATGACTCCTCTACGGCAGGGTTTCCCAAACTCATGTGTGCTGCGTGGCTATATTGACGAAAAACAGACTCCATGAGATTGAATGGTGGGCTTTTGCACAGATGGGGCTCCATCTATGGCGGGACAGCGGGCAGGCCTCTGCACTCTAGTTATGAATGTGTGTCCGTCTGCCATATGGACGCATTGTATGATACACAGAGAGCAACTTGCGGCAAAGAGCTGTTAATTACGTAATATTTTTCACATATCAAAATGGGCTCGTGGGCCAAAAAAGTTTGTGAAGCTCTGGTGTAGGCCTACTTGTATACCGGCAACGGCACATGTAAGTGTACTGCCACCTTCTGCTCATAACACTGAACTGCTGAATTTGTGAAGTACACCAATGGCAAATTCCTCAATTTCAAGCCACTGACTTACAATTTATCAAGTCATTCTTCTCAAAATGACCAACAATGGGCAAAGAAAGCACACTGAAAATAAACAGAATAATTCCTTGTGTGCTGATTCAAGCCATGAATTGAAGGTTTAACAGATAGCGCTTCAACCTGAAAGTCATTTCCAAGGAAAATACTACTCTTCCCACTGAATCCATTTAATCCATTTAATCCATTCCTAAACTAATTACCAGCACATTCTTGAGTCTTTAATAGCTGACTAAATTAAGGGACAGAGATAGGAAGGAAGAAATGAATGACAAACCAAACCCAGTAATAAAGTTACTTATTAACTGTCTCTTTAAGGCTATGTGTGGGGCAGTCAGTGACAGTTCCTTCAACCTTTAGCATGACAAGTCTCCTTGCAGTAGGCTAAACAAGAGGAGAAAAACACCTGTTGAAAAAACATCTCAAAGGTATTTAGTCTATGAACGTCATTGTCTGTCAGGTATGTACAAGTCATTTGCCAAAATCCATATGAAGAGGGGACTATAGGATTTCGTTGAGTAGTGTCAGTTATAGGCATGTGGTTGTCGTACGACGACAGCGTGTTTTTGACATAGAAAAGGCTTGAAGTGCACTACATGGCAGTATCACGAGAGGTGGTTGAAGTGGCACCACCCTTAGTGGTTGTGTCAACTGTGTTGAATATAATATTATTACTTTCAACTTGTTTTATCAAGAGGTACAGTTTATGCATTATAATGAATGGTAAACATTTTAGGACTAACTCCATACTTTTTGCTATGAGGTTTTTGAGCTTGAGCTCGACTAACAACAGTACAGTGAAAATGGTGTACATTTCTTAGACAGAGTTAGACACAAGGGTCTACTTCTCGACTTCAATCAAGGATAGGCCACTCCTGACATTCTCAACTTTTTCTAATGTCTGCATTTCATCTGACAGTGACAAGACTGGACCCTTTTCAGTTATATTCCAAAAAGGATTTGGAACAGGTAGAATGAGTGGATTCTTTCACATGCTCATCATGTCACCCAAATCTTCCCGTTTCTGCAGGAGAGTCATGGAACATCTAGGCTGCAGTGCCATCGTGGCTTTTTGTTTTGGGGGGGCACTTATTGCAGGTGCACATCCTCCTGGATCAGTCCTGGGGGAAAGTCAAGCATTTCAAAGAAAACTCCTGATGGAATATGACAATAACCCTGCTTCAACAACCAGTACGTTTTTTATTGTATTTTATGTCATTCACTTTCAACAGACAAATACAAGCATTTAATTAATGTCACCCTGACAGCAATTTCACTAGTGTACATAAATTAAATTAAATTGTAACACCTTCACAGAGTACATATGAGTCCCACCAATCCAGTGTTAAATTAACACTTTTGAGAGTGTTGAAAAAATAACACTGTTTCAGTTCAGGGGCATACCTTGACACCAGTGGCGGTCAGTGCCATTTATGATGAGGGAGGACACACAGGTCCAGAGAAAAATTGGAGATGACAGACTGACACATTCAATACCGCCTTGAACACTCTTGCCTGCATCTGGCATGTCTAAGGTGTAATTAGTCCAACAGTTGCAAACGAGAGTTTCTGTTGGACAGATACAGGTATTTTTATCCCCATTTCGTTTTTCAACAGAATCGGCAGAATGAATACACCCCTGATCACGCATGAACACAGTTCACTTTCATACGTAGCAGCCACATTGTATTCATTCTAGCCTCTATGCACTCTCCTCCTCTCACCTTTTCCCTTTGTTTGTGGACTTCAATTAACAACACATCAGCTGTATGTGACCAGGCGAAAAAACCTTTCCAAACCATGTCATAACCGCTACACACAGCCTACATCGTTGTCCCCATATTAGCTAAAGTAACATCCTAGTCAACATAGCTAATATAACTAATACGTTAGTAAACCTGCTACAATCATGCAGTAACTTTACAGTATATAGTCAGTAAGCAGTTTAGCAGTTACACCGGCGGCTCCGGTGGCAATAAATTAGTAAAACCAAAAGCTTACCTTGACTTGGAAGAGTTCCAGTGTTGTGTTGGATGGTCATAGCCACCTAGCTAACATAGCATCGCTCTGTTTGAGCCTGGTGTTTGAGTAACTAAACTAGCCAGCTGCATTTGCTAGCTAAGTAAGTGAAACTGAAAGTGAAAAGAAATGACGAAATCTCTCTCTCTCTCTCTTGCTTCTCCTTCATTTTTGAAGAAATTAATTTGTTGAAAACTGTTCAACTATTGTCTTTCTCTCTCTTTGAGTCAATTATTCACCAAATGTTATGCACTGCAGTGCTAGCTAGCTGTAGCTTATGCTTTCAGTACTAGATTCATTCTCTGATCCATTGATTGGGTGGACAACATATCAGTTCATGCTGCAAGATCTCTCATAGGTTGGAGGATGTGCTCTGGAAGTTGTCATAATTACTGTGTAAGTCTATGGAAGGGGGTGAGAACCCAGAGCCTCCTAGGTTTTGTATTGATGTCAATGTACCAAGAGGAGGATGGAAGCTAGCTCTCCGGCTACACCATTGTGCTACCCTACAGAGTGCTGTTGAGGCTACTGTAGACCTTCATTGCAAAACAGTGTGTTTTAATCAATTATTTGGTGACATGTGAATATATTTATTATAGTTTTATTTAAAAAGGAGTGTTTTGGGTCATTGTCCTGTTGAAAAACAAAATGATAGTCCCACTAAGCGCAAACCAGATGGGATGGCGTATCGCTGCAGAATGCTGTGGTAGCCATGCTGGTTAAGTGTGCCTTGAATTCTAAATAAATCACCAAAAGTGTCACCAGCAAAGCACCCCCACACCATCACACCTCCTCCTCCATGCTTCACGGTGGGAACTACACATGCAGAGATCATCCGTTCACCTGTGGCGGTCCTCATGAGAGCCAGTTTCATCATAGCTTTTGATGGTTTTTGAGACTGCACTTGAATAAACTTTTACCCCTACCTTGTCACAACACAACTGATTGGCTCAAACGCATTAAGAAGGAAAGAAATTCCACAAATTAACTTTTAACAAGGCACACCTGTTAATTTAAATTTGTTCCAGGTGACTACCTCATTAAGCTAGTTGAGAGAATGCCAAGAGTGTGCAAAGCTGTCATCAAGGCAAAGGGTGGCTATTTGAAGAATCTCAAATATAAAATATATTTTGATTTGTTTAACAACTACTCATTCCAGAAAATCACTGGAATGAGTAGTTGTGTCCAAACTTTTGACTGGTACTGTATATATTTTTTTTTCTTCCACATTGACATTACAGAGTATTTTGTATAGATCGTTGACCAAAAAAAAGACAATTAAATCCATTTGAATCCCACTTTGTAACACAACAAAATGTGGAAAAAGTCAAAGGGGTGTGAATACTTTCTGAAGGCACTGTATGTAGTATGCTTGTGTGGTGGATACTGGAACATTCTCTGGTTATTTTCTGAATTTACCCCATTCTCCTGTCCCCTGCATCCCACAGCTGTCCATCCCACCGTGACAGGCGGGGATGTTAACTCCAACACGTGGCCCTACCTGGCTGCAGCGCTGACTTCCGCCCTCACTGTCTCCCTGTTCATCGTGGTGGCCGTCAAGTGCCGCCTATTGCACCGCTACCTGGCCAGCAACCTCCACTCCCTGCTCCCCGAGGGGGACACAGCCAGCCAGTACAGCCCAGACGAGGTGACCTTCCCTGGGCACGGCATGATAGGCCAAGGAAGTGGAGGTGGAGGTAATGGGACCCATCGAGGGTTGGGTACAGATGACAACGATGGCTTCATAGAGGATAACTACATCCAGGTCAGCGAGAGGGCGAGGGCGGAGAGTCACGAGGACGACGGGATTGAAGGAGAGGATAGTGATGATGATCTCCTGATTTTAGGTGATTTTAGGAGATTTTAGGAGATTTTAAGTGATTTGAGGAGATTTGAGGACTGATTGAAAGGGATTGTTTACAGCTGATTGGCTGACAGTGGTGGGTTCACTTCATAGAGTCCAATGCTGTCCAAACCAGACCTGGGTTCAAATAATATTAGTTTCCTTTCAAATACTTCAGCTGTGCTTAATTGAGCTTGTGTGACACAACTGAACCAAATGAATAGTACCAAAAGTGAAAACCCCCGCCAAACAGGCACTCCAGGCAGGCTCAATAAAACACTCAAAGTATTTGAAAGAAAACAATTACTATTTGAACCCAGGTCAGGTGAAAATATGTTGAAAGATGAAAGAGATACTGAGAAATGATCATGGTCCCACTCAACAATTGACTGTATACTGTAAAGGCTTTATAGAACATGCATAACGTCATACATACTTAATTAGGCTGTTTGAGAAGGTTTGAATTCTAAGCAACCAACATACACATTGTTTGAAGTGCAATAGACATACATAGTTACTGTAGTAGGTCAAAGCTGTGTGCTGGAAAACCTTGGTAGAGCATGGGTGAAGTACGCATTGTGGCGCCTTTTTCCGGCTGTAGACTAATGCCTACTTCTCACTTAAAACATCATTTTTTGTTTTTAATACTACATATAGTGCTTTACAAATCATTTGTACTGTACAAACATGATGATATAATAGGTCATACAATCTGATTCTTTACCAAATGTAAAAAGGGTTTATGAAGGCTTCATTAACAGTTAAAAGTTATGTTTCGTTTAAAGTGGGACCTTTTTCAAGTGGGGGACTAAATGAGCCTGAGCCACATTGAAGATGAGTAATGTTGTTACTATTTGATATGCAATGATTTTCATTTTCTGAAGACAGCAATGCTAATGATCTATTTGTAAATACAAAATATCCTTGATTTTAAAGAATGTATAGTCTTTTGACACTTTTTATATCATGTAAAATGTTAATTATGTTCAAGATGCAAGATCCATTCAACACTATGCTCAACAAGTGATGTTGTAATGATAGTCCTTAAAAATTAACAATGCTTGTTGTCACGACTTTCTCCGAAGCTGCCTCCTCTCCTTGATCGGGCAGGCTTCGGCGTTCGTCGTCACCGGCCTTCTAGCCACTGCCGCTCCGCATCTCATCATTCCATTTGTTTTGTCTTGTTTTTACACACCTGGTTCATATCCCCTCATCAGTCCACGTATAAGTATTCCCTCTGCCCCCAATGTCTTTGTGTGTGATTGTTTCATGTGGAGGTGTCGATAGCTCAGTGGAGCTTTATGTACTGTTATCGCCGGGATATTCACTCGTGTGTTTTGATTTTCTCCAGTGCGCCGTGTTACCGCACTGTAGTTGTTCTACTCATTGCTGCGAACCGCTGTATTGGCTGAATAAACAATTTATTCTGTGATTTACCCCTCCTGCGCCTGACTCCGTCCAAATCACCCGCTACACTTGCATGTTACCATCGATATTGATTTTGAGAACTTTATTATAATGCACTTGGTGAATAAATTATTGAAATGTGCTTTTGTAAAATAAAAATCTTCAGTCATTTTCTTAGCCACGTAATTGATAAGAAATTAAGACAATAAAGACTTGTTTATACCTGGCGCTAACATGCGTTCTTTGCCCTGATCGTGTCCACATTCTCATTATGCCCACATTTTCAGAAATACTGTATGTCTACACACATGGTATTGTAATGTGTCTGTTATCCGTCCACTGTGTCCGCATTGTGACCAGATTTCCTGGTCACTCCCTGATTGCAAATTATTTGACAGCTATTCTTTCAAAATAATATTTATTTATGTATTAAGACATATTGATGCCATAAGTCAATATTGCCACAATGGTACAACCTCTCAATAACTTTAGAAGGTGGATAATTATAATTAATTAATAATGAAGTGTTACAGATTGCACGCTATACATTTTAAGGTAATTTCCGATTGAGGCGACATATGCAGTGTTTACCGTGAATGCAGTCTCTGCTAACGCGGGAACATTGCCTTTAAATTTAAATCACGCTGTAAAGCTGGATTTCCACGATACGGTTTGAATAGTGCCCTAAATGGTTTCACTGTCCAGATCTGTCTACACTTGTAAGATTTCCAGACACAAAGCGTGCCTGACTACCTTCCGAGGTGATAAGGAAGATCACAATTAGATTACAATGAGTCTACAACTGTCTGAAAATGTGGGCACAATCAGAATGTGGACACAGGACAACGGATGCATTATAGAACCAGGTACAAACGGGACTAAAGTCTAATGGAGAAAATATTAACCTTCTTGTTTACAGTTCTCAGATTTGTACACACTGTCACTCTTTCTCAGCATTTCATTAAAAACAGCAGAAAACACAATCTATAAAGACACAAATTGTGATATTAATCCAATACATACAAAATAACAAATCCTGACTTATTAGGACAGCTCAGAACAAGTCCTTCTGAGACTGAGGATGTCCTAATATGGACACCGTATCTCTTGTCTTTGGTCTTATAATATTAAACATAACTGTTCATTAGAACAGACTACCATATTTGTGTCAATATGATAACGTATCAAATAGTGCATATGTCAAAACAGCACAGAGAAACAAGAACCATGTGACTTGGTGGGGTCTCCTTGGTGCGAGTGGTCTGTTTGCGATGATGGCAGTGTAGCAATCATACTGCTACTGACAGAAACAATAGTCGGTCTGACTGAGGGTCCTGGGGGTCCATCTATTAAGTCTCCTAGTCTCTTCTCACCTCTCCTCTTCTCTCCTCTCCTTACTTGTCTTCCTCTTCTCACCTCCTCCTCTCCTCTCCTCACTTGTTTTCCTCTCCTCTCCTCTCCTCTCCTCTCCTCTCCTCTCCTCTCCTCTCCTCTCCTCTCCTCTCCTCTCCTCTCCTCTCCTCTCCTCTCCTCTCCTCTCCTCTCCTCTCCTCTCCTCTCCTCTCCTCTCCTCCTCTCCTCTCCTCTCCTCTCCTCTCCTCTCCTCTCCTCTCCTCTCCTCTCCTCTCCTCTCCTCTCCTCTCCTCTCCTCTCCTCTCCTCTCCTCTCCTCTCCTCTCCTCTCCTCTCCTCTCCTCTCCCATTGCACCAGGTACGCTCAATCAAGCACATCTCAAGTATTTTAAAGAAATACAAATACATTTTTTACCAAGGGCAGTGTTCATTAGGGCACACGCCAGGAAAAGGAGGAACTGCCCCTCCCTACCTTCAGGCTATGCTCAAACCCTACACCCCAACCCTAATACTCTGTTTTGCCACTCTGGTCTCTTGGCCCTCCCATCCCTACAGGAGGGCAGTTCCCGCTCAGCCCAGTCCAAGCTCTTCTCTGTCCTTGCACCCCAGTGGTGGAACCAGCTTCCCCCTGAAGCTAGGACAGCAGAGTCCCTGCCCATCTTCTGAAAACATCTTAAATAATCCCACAGCACCCCCTTCTCACCGCGACCCCCCACCCCCCCAAATAACACTCACACTTTATATTTTTTTTCTCCCCTTACTAGCTCTGACTGACAGCTGCTTTATTGAGAAACAATGTACTTACTATGACTGTGATATGTGGTTGTCCCACCTAGCTATCTTAAGATGAACTGTAAGTCGCGTCTGCTAAATGACTAAATGTGTGTGTGTGTGTGTGTTGTGTGTGTGTGTGTGGAGGGGGCTCTGACGTCAGTTTCCTCAAATAGTTCCCCCTCTGTCACCACGAGAATGGCGTCATTGATTCACATGATCTAAGATTGCCTCTTGTGTCAGCCACAATGGAAGCTCTCTCACTAGTCAACCTTTATTTAACTAGGCAAGTCAGTTAAGAACAAATTCTTATTTACAATGACGGCCCACACCGGCCAAACCCAGACGACGCTGGGCCAATTGTGCGCAATTGTGCATAATACTACACTGCTCAAAAAAATAAGGGAACACTTAAACAACACATCCTAGATCTGAATGAATTAAATAATCTTATTAAATACTTTTTTCTTTACATAGTTGAATGTGCTGACAACAAAATCACACAAAAATTATCAATGGAAATCAAATTTATCAACCTATGGAGGTCTGGATTTGGAGTCACCCTCAAAATTAAAGTGGAAAACCACACTACAGGCTGATCCAACTTTGATGTAATGTCCTTAAAACAAGTCAAAATGAGGCTCAGTAGTGTGTGTGGCCTCCACGTGCCTGTATGACCTCCCTACAATGCCTGGGCATGCTCCTGATGAGGTGGCGGATGGTCTCCTGAGGGTTCTCCTCCCAGACCTGGACTAAAGCATCCGCCAACTCCTGCACAGTCTGTGGTGCAACGTGGCGTTGGTGGATGGAGCGAGACATGATGTCCCAGATGTGCTCAATTGGATTCAGGTCTGGGGAACGGGCGGGGCCAGTCCATAGCATCAATGCCTTCCTCTTGCAGGAACTGCTGACACACTCCAGCCACATGAGGTCTAGCATTGTCTTGCATTAGGAGGAACCCAGGGCCAACCGCACCAGCATATGGTCTCACAAGGGGTTTGAGGATCTCATCTCGGTACCTAATGGCAGTCAGGCTCCCTCTGGCGAGCACATGGAGAGCTGTGCGGCCCCCCAAAGAAATGCCACCCACACCATGACTGACACACCGCCAAACAGGTCATGCTGGAGGATGTTGCAGGCAGCAGAACGTTCTCCACGGCGTCTCCAGACTCTGTCACGTCTGTCACATGTGCTCAGTGTGAACCTGCTTTCATCTGTGGAAGAGCACAGGGCGCCAGTGGTGAATTTGCCAATCTTGGTGTTCTCTGGCAAATGCCAAACGTCCTGCACGGTGTTGGGCTGTAAGCACAACCCCCACCTGTGGACGTCGGGCCCTCATACCACCCTCATGGAGTCTGTTTCTGACAGTTTGAGCAGACACATGCACATTTGTGGCCTGCTGGAGGTCATTTTGCAGGGCTCTGGCAGTGCTCCTCCTGCTCCTCCTTGCACAAAGGCAGAGGTAGCGGTCCTGCTGCTGGGTTGTTGCCCTCCTACGGCCTCCTCCACGTCTCCTGATGTACTGGCCTGTCTCCTGGTAGCGCCTCCATGCTCTGGACACTACGCTGACAGACACAGCAAACCTTCTTGCCACAGCTCGCATTGATGTGCCATCCTGGATGAGCTGCACTACCTGAGCCACTTGTGTGGGTTTTAGACTCTGTCTCATGCTACCACTAGAGTGAGAGCACCGCCAGCATTCAAAAGTGACCAAAACATCAGCCAGGAAGCATAGGAACTGAGAAGTGGTCTGTGGTCACCACCTGCAGAACCACTTCTTTATTGGGGGTGTCTTGCTAATTGCCTATAATTTCCACCTGTTGTCTATTCCATTTGCACAACAGCATGTGAAATGTATTGTCAATCAGTGTTGCTTCCTAATTGGACAGTTTGATTTCACAGAAGTGTGATTGACTTGGAGTTACATTGTGTTGTTTAAGTGTTCCCTTTATTTTTTTGAGCAGTGTACATATAGTTTATGCCAGAGCCCAGTGCCGGCCCAGCCAATGATCGCATATAAACTCAGCAAAAAAAGAAACGTCCTCTCACTCTCAACTGCGTTTATTTTCAGCAAACTTAACATGTGTAAATATTTGTATGAACATAACAAGATTCAACAACTGAGACATACACTGAACAAGTTCCACAGACATGTGACTAACAGAAATGGAATCATGTGTCCCTGAACAAAGGGGGGGTCAAAATCAAAAGTAACAGTCAGTATCTGGTGTGGCCACCAGCTGCATTAAGTACTGCAGTGCATCTCCTCCTCATGGACTACGCCAGATTTGCCAGTTCTTGCTGTGAGATGTTACCCCACTCTTCCACCAAGGCACCTGCAAGTTCCCAGACATTTCTGGGGGGAATGGCCCTAGCCCTCTCCCTCCAATCCAACAGGTCCCAGACGTGCTCAATGGGATTGAGATCCGGGCTCTTCGCTGGCCATGGCAGAACACTGACATTCCTGTCTTGCAGGAAATCACGCACAGAACGAGCAGTATGGCTGGTGGCATTGTGATGCTGGAGGGTAATGTCAGGATGAGCCTGCAGGAAGGGTACCACATGAGGGAGGAGGATGTCTTCCCTGTAACGCACAGTGTTGAGATTGCCTGCAATGACACAAGCTCAGTCCGATGATGCTGTGACACACTGCCCCAGACCATGACGAACCCTCCATCTCCAAATCGATCCCGCTCCAGAGTACAGGCCTCGGTGTAATGCTCATTCCTTCGACGATAAACGCGAATCCACCCATCACCCCTGGTGAGACAAAACCGCGACTCGTTAGTGAAGAGCACTTTTTGCCAGTCCTGTCTGGTCCAGCGACGGTGGGTTTGTGCCCATAGGCGACGTTGTTGCCGGTGATGTCTGGTGAGGACAACAGACCTACAAGCCCTCAGTCCAGCCTCTCTCAGCCTATTGCGGACAATCTGAGCACTGATGGAGGGATTGTGCGTTCCTGGTGTAACTCGGGCAGTTGTTGTTGCCATCCTGTACCTGTCCCGCAGGTGTGATGTTCGGATGTACCGATCCTGTGCAGGTGTTGTTACACGTGGTCTGCCACTGCAAGGATGATCAGCTGTCTGTCCTGTCTCCCTGTAGCACTGTCTCAGGCGTCTCACAGTACGGACATCGCAATTTATTGCCCTGGCCACATCTGCAGTCCTCATGACTCCTTGCAGCATGCCTAAGGCACGTTCTCGCAGATGAGCAGGGATCCTGGGCATCTTTCTTTTGGTGTTTTTCAGTCAGTAGAAAGGTCTCTTTAGTGTCCTACGTTTTCATAACTGTGACCTTAATTGCCTACCGCCTGTAAGCTGTTAGTGTCTTAACGACCGTTCCACAGGTGCATGTTCATTAATTGTTTATGGTTAATTGAACAAGCATGGGAAACCCTTTACTTGTTTAAACCCTTTTCCTATAATGTTTTATGAGATTAGAGAACACACTGGGAAGGATCTTAGACCATTTCTCCATACAGACTCTTTCCAGATCCTTGATATCCTTCGTCTGTGCTTATGTACTGCCCTCTTCAATTCAAACCAGAGGTTTTCAATGGAGTTCAAGTCCGGAGATTGAGATGGCCATTGAACATTTTGATTTTGTGGTCAATTAACTGTTTATTTGTGGATTTTGATGTGTGCTTTGGATTATTGTCTAGATGGAAGATCCACTTGCGGCCTCTTGTCAGAGGCAACCAGGTTTTTGGCAAAAATGTCCTGGTACTAGTTAAAGTTCATGACGCCGTTGACCTTAACAAGGGCCCCAGGACCAGTGGAAGCAAAGTAGCCCCATAACATCAAAGATCTACCACCATATTTTACAGTAGGTATGGTGTTCTTTTCTGCTTATGTATCCTTATTTCGACGCCAAACCCATCACTGGTGTCCGTGGCCAAAGAGCTCTATTTTCATGTCATCCAACAAATGTAAACGCAGCCACGTTTCATCTTCAATGCCCTTGCTGATGGAAGGAGGTTTTCACTCAAAATCTCACGATACATGGCCCCATTCATTCTTTCCTTTACACGGATCAGTCGTCCTGGTCCCTTTGCAGAAAAACAGCCCCAAAGCATGATGTTTCCACCCCCATGCTTCACAGTAGGTATGGTGTTCTTTGGATGCAACTCAGCATTCTTTGTCCTCCAAACACGACGAGTTGAGTTTTTACCAAAAAGTTCTATTTTGGTTTCATCTGACCATATAACATTCTCCCAATCCTCTTCTGGATCATCCAAATGCACTCTAGCAAACTTCAGACGGGCCTGGACATGTACTGGCTTAAGCAGGGGGACACGTCTGGCACTGCAGGATTTGAGTCCCTGGCGGCGTAGTGTGTTACTGATGGTAGGCTTTGTTACTTTGGTCCCAGCTCTCTGCAGGTCATTCACTAGGTCCCCCCGTGTGGTTCTGGGATTTTTGCTCACCGTTCTTGTGATCATTTTGACCCCACGGGGTGAGATCTTGCGTGGAGCCCCAGATCGAGGGAGATTATCAGTGGTCTTGTATGTCTTCCATTTCCTAATAATTGCTCCCACAGTTGATTTCTTCAAACCAAGCTGCTTACCTATTGCAGATTCAGTCTTCCCAGCCTGGTGCAGGTCTACAATGTTGTTTCTGGTGTCCTTTGACAGCATAGTGGAGTTTGGAGTGTGACTGTTTGAGGTTGTGGACAGGTGTCTTTTATACTGATAACAAGTTCAAACAGGTGCCATTAATACAGGTAACGAGTGGAGGACAGAGGAGCCTCTTAAAGAAGAAGTTACAGGTCTGTGAGAGCCAGAAATCTTGCTTGTTTGTAGGTGACCAAATACTTATTTTCCACCATAATTTGCAAATAAATTCATTAAAAATCCTACAATGTGATTTTCTGGGAAAAAAAAATCTCAATTTGTCTGTCATAGTTGACGTGTACCTATGATACAGGCCTCTCTCATCTTTTTAAGTGGGAGAACTTGCGCAATTGGTGGCTGACTAAATACTTTTTTCCCCCACTGTATTTCTATGCTCCTCCGGTCCAACTCATCCGGACGATGAGGTCGGGTGGTTGTGGAGGCCAGGTCATCTGATGCAGCACTCCATCACCCTCCTTCTTGGTCAAATAGCCCTTACACAGCCTGGAGGTGTGTTTTGGGTCATTGTCCTGTCGAAAAACAAATGATAGTCACACTAAGCCCAAACCAGATGGGATCGCGTATCGTTGCAGAATGCTGTGGTAGCCATGCTGGTTAAATGTGCCTTGAATTCTAAATAAATCACAGACAGTGTCATCAGCAAAGCACCTCCACACCGTGACACCACCTCCATGCTTCACGGTGGGAACCACACATGCAGAGATCATCCGTTCACCTACTCTGCGTCTCACAAAGACACAGCGGTTGGAACCAAAGATCTCAAATTTGGACTCATCAGACCAAAGGACAGATTTCCACCGGTCTAATGTCCATTGCTCGTGTTTCTTGGCCCAAGCAAGTCTCTTATTATTATTGGTGTCCTTTAGTAGTGGTTTCTTTGCAGCAATTCGACCATGAATGCCTGATTTACGCAGTCCCCTCTGAACAGTTGATGTTGAGATGTGTCTGTTACTTGAACTCCGTGAAGCATTTATTTGGGCTGCAATCTGAGATGCAGTTAACTCTAATTAACTTATCCTCTGCAGCAGAGGTAACTCTGGGTCTTCCTTTCCTGTGGCGGTCCTCATGAGAGCCAGTTTCATCATAGCGATTGATGGTTTTTGCGACTGCACTTGAAGAAACTTTCAAAGTTCTTGAAATGTTCCGTATTGACTGACCTTCGTGTCTTAAAGTAATGATGGACTGTCATTTCTCTTTGCTTATTTGAGCTGTTCTTGCCATAACTTGGACTTGGTCTTTTACCAAATAGGTCTATCTTCTGTATGCCACCCCTACCTTGTCACAACACAACTGATTGGCTCAAACGCATTAAGAAGGAAATCAATTCCACAAATTAACTTTTAACAAGGCACACCTGTTAATTGAAATGCATTCCAGGTGACTACTTCATGAAGCTGGTTGAGAGAATGCCAAGAGAGTGCAAAGCTGTCATCAAGGCAAAGGGTGGCTACTTTGAAAAATCTCTAATATATTTTGATTTGTTTAACACTTTTTTGGTTACTACATGATTCCATATGTGTTATTTCATAGTTTACTTTCCCCCTTCTGATAACCAGGTGGCGAATCGCATCTCTGCATGTCTGGCAGACATATCAGTATGGATGACGGATCACCACCTCAAGCTAAACCTTGGCAAGACGGAGCTGCTCTTCCTCCCGGGGAAGGACTGCCTGTTCCATGATCTCGCCATCACGGTTGACAACTCCGTTGTGTCCTCCTCCCAGAGTGTGAAGAGCCTTGGCGTGACCCTGGACAACACCCTGTCGTTCTCCGCTAACATCAAGGCGGTGACCCGATCCTGTAGGTTCATGCTCTACAACATTCGGAGAGTACGACCCTGCCTTACACAGGAAGCGGCACAGGTCCTAATCCAGGCACTTGTCATCTCCCGTCTGGATTACTGCAACTCGCTGTTGGCTGGGCTCCCTGCCTGTGCCATTAAACCCCTACAACTCATCCAGAATGCCGCAGCCCGTCTGGTGTTCAACCTTCCCAAGTTCTCTCACGTCACCCCGCTCCTCCGCACACTCCACTGGCTTCCAGTTGAAGCTCGCATCTGCTACAAGACCATGGTGCTTGCCTACGGAGCTGTGAGGGGAACGGCACCTCCGTACCTTCAGGCTCTGATCAGTCCCTACACCCAAACGAGGGCATTGCGTTCATCCACCTCTGGCCTGCTGGCTCCCCTACCTCTGCGGAAGCATAGTTCCCGCTCAGCCCAGTCAAAACTGTTCGCTGCTCTGGCACCCCAATGGTGGAACAAGCTCCCTCACGACGCCAGGACAGCAGAGTCACTCACCACCTTCCGGAGACATTTGAAACCCCACCTCTTTAAGGAATACCTGGGATAGGATAAAGTAATCCTTCTACCCCCCCCTTACCCCAACCCAAACCCCAACCCCCCCAAAAAAACATAAAAAAAACAAAAACATTGTAAAGTGGTGATCCCACTGGCTATAAGGTGAATGCACCTATTTGTAAGTCGCTCTGGATAAGAGCGTCTGCTAAATGACGTAAATGTAAATGTAAATGTATGTCTTCACTATTATTCTACAATATATTAACAAAACATTAAGAAAAACCCTGGAATGAGTAGGTGTGTCCAAACTTTTGACTGGTACTGTGACGAGTACTGAGTATACAAAGAGGCAGGACGCAGACACAGGAATTAACAAGGTCAAGGTTTACTCAAACAATGACCAAGAGAAATAACAAAGATAGAGTACACGACACGAAGCTAAACAATCACACACAACATCATCCAGAACAGTCCAGGGCTAAATAGGGGTGGTGATGAGATGAGGTGCGCTGGAGGTGATTAGGGTGCATTGGGTTTCCATTCCGGTGTTGCCGAGGTGGTGCGCTCAGACCGGTGGCTCAGAAGACCGGCGAATCAGAGCGCCGGAGGGGAGCAACGGGAGGAGATGTGACAGGTACTGTATATATACTGAACAAAAATATAAACGCAACATGGAAAATTATGGTCCCCTGATTCATGAGCTGAAATAAAAGATCCCCCAAAAAATTCCATACGCACAAATAATTTATTTATCTCAAATTTGTTTACATCCCTGTTAGTGAGCATTTCTTCTTTGCCAAGATAATCCATCCACCTGACAGGTGTGGCATATCAAGAAGCTGATTAAACAGCATGATCATTACACAGGTGCACCTTGTGCTTGGGACAATAAAAGGCCACTCTAAAATGTGCAGTTTTGTCACACAACACAATGCCACAGATACCAAATTTTGAGGGAGCATGCAATTGGCATGCTGACTGCAGGAATGTCCACCAGAGCTGTTGCCAGAGAATTGAATGTAATAAAGCCCTTTTGTGGGGAAAAACTCATTCTGATTGGCTGGGCCTGGCTCCCCAGTGGGTGGGCCTATGCCCTCCCAGGCCCACCCATGGCTGCGCCCCTGCCCAGTCATGTGAAATCCATAGATTAGGGCCTAATGAATTTATTTAAATTGACTGATTTTCTTATATTAACTGTAAAACCATTGTAATTGTTTCATGTTGCGTTTTATATTGTTGTTCAGTATAATATAATTTTCAGATTCACTATAACACATATAATTGTTTTGCTTTTAGTGATCTGATAATATATATATATATGTATGGACTTTCCCGTAAAAATTGTCATATACATTTTCGTAAGGGAGATGCATTCAGTAACTGAATACTTCTTCTGTTCTTTAGATTAAGGAGAACGTGGTGTGGCCTCCTGAGTGGCGCAGCGGCCTAAGGCACTGCATCGCAGTGTTGCTGCGTCACTACAGCCTGGGGTTCGCTGTGTCATTACCAGCTGTGACCAGGAGTCCCATAGGGCGGTACGGGTTAGGGGAGGGTTTGGCGGGCTGGGCTTTACCTGGCTCATCGCGCTCTAGTGACTCCTTGTGGCGGGCCGGGTGCCTGCCCCTGCAGGCTGAACTCGGTCTTCAGTTGAACGGTGTTTCCTCCAACACATTGGTGAAGCTGGCTTCCGGGTTAAGCGAGCGGGTTTGGCGTGTCATGTTTCGGAGGACGCATGACTCGACCTTCGCCCCTCTCCTGAGTCCATTGGGGAGTTGCAGCGATGAGACAAGATCGTAATCACGAGAGACAATAAAATAAGGAGAACATGATGGAGAAGGGGATGTCTCAAGACGTCAAGCTGAGCTGGAAAAAGCAGGCGGATGGAAAAGTCTTCCGAAAGGAGAGCTCTGAGATAAAACAAGTAATGAAACGAAAGACAGAATTCTACCATATAATTAGAATGGCCATGATGGGATAAAGGTCAGGGAGTTGGTCAACCATGGTTTGCCAGTGCTGTGATAAGATATTGTGTAAAATAATGAATTAAAATAATTGTATCTGCACTGTATGTTTGTTAGCTAGATAGACAGTTTTAGAGGAATGAATCCATCATCTATTCAAATTAACTGCCAATATGCCAACATTCCATTCAAACAATGCAGTCAATCCACAGCCATACACTGGCTGAAATCTGTTGATGATGGACTTAGACAAGTTGTAAATGCAACAAGTACTGATATTGTATCGTATAATAGCACTCTATATATATTTTACATTTATGTTCTGTTTACATATATTTTAGAGGCTATTTATACAGAAAATTCGTATAAAACCCATATAAACTGTATTTATAATTCTGACTATATTTTAGGTTGACAACAATTCTATTACACAATTTCTGATATATTCACATGCCTTACTTTTATTTTCCTGCATAAGTAAAAGCAGGAAATACATCACCTATAACTCTACTGCCATTCATTCCAATTAGACTGGTTTGGATTTCTCCCAACCCATTCTGAAACTTTGAGGGTTTATAGCCCCTCTAGTAATTTAATAGGATCTCTATGGTTCTAACTTTGTAAAATGATGTATGTATGAATCATATGTTATTACTGGTAATCATGTTCTCTATACTCACTTCAGACTGTATATACATACAACTACTACTACTACTAATAATAATAATAATTGTAAACAATTGTGCAGCACATTTCATACTTGTCTCATGAATTTACATTGAAGCGTATTTATTTATACTACCAACAAATACCATTTCCTTTAACATCCTGATTTATTTGTGTATATTTTAGTGGTTAGAAGCAAAGTTGCAATTTTATTTCTTGAAATGTTGAAAGTTTTGTTCTTCAGAAGAAAGTATCCAAAATAACTAGGTGGAATACTGTTACATATTTGAGAGACTTATTTTATTCTACAGTCAACTCCTGCCGCGCCCACGACACATGACGTGTAATATAAAACAAACACCCAAACACATATTTCAGGAAAATGTTAAAATCTTTATTTACAACACAAATAGCTTCTTATTGCCTGACTGTATAATAACAATACACTCTGCTCGTATTTGACCATTGAAATTGAGTGTTTTGATGCTTCACTCAGTGTGTAGTCCCGTGTAGCTCAGTTTGTAGAGCATGGCGCTTGCAACGCCGCCAGGGTTGTGGGTTCGTTTTCCCACGGGGGACCAGTATGAAAAAATGTATGCACTCACTAACTAAGTCGCTCTGGATAAGAGTGTCTGCTTAATGATTAAAATGTAAATGTAGCTCTGTGATAGATATTGTGGACAGACCACCTGATCTGGCCCTGTTGTTTGCAGGTGGCTTCTAGCCTGGTCCCAGATCAGTTTGTGCTGTATAGCCAACTCCTATGGTCATTGTCATGGAAATCAGCACAAACTGATCTGGGACCAGGCTAGGTGCCCTCAGCTTGACTACCACCATGTATAATCAGTACATGTCTCTCTACCTGTATGTAGTTCATTGGGTATATGCCACATTTACAGCTCATGTCCACCAAGGTGGGGTCCATTCTGGATCCCTAATCAGACCTGGGTTCAAATAGTATTTCTTTTTCGCTCAGCGTTTGATTGAGCCAACCTGGAATGCTGGATTTGCACTTTTAGGTCTGTTCTACTCCATTGTGCCAGGCAAGCTCAATCAAACTCTGCTAAAATATTTTAAAGAGAACCAATAACTTTTAGCTTTTAACCAATAACTCTTAACTCAGGTAACCATCACAGCCCCTCCCACCCTCCTCCTCTCCTCCTCTCCCCCAGGATCAAGTGGTGAGTACGGGTCCTCCTCTCCCCCAGGATCAAGTGGTGAGTACGGGTCCTCCTCTCCCCCAGGATCAAGTGGTGAGTACGTGTCCTCCTCTCCCCCAGGATCAAGTGGTGAGTACGTGTCCTCCTCTCCCCCAGGATCAAGTGGTGAGTACGGGTCCTCCTCTCCCCCAGGATCAAGTGGTGAGTACGGGCAGCTTGGTGCTGCTAGAGGGGGGCCTTAGGGAGTGGCCCTGGCCCTGCATCTTCAGCCTCTGGATCTCCACGCGCTGCAGCTGGATGATACGCTCTGCCTCCTCCTCGAAGTTGAGCCTCGCCACCAGGCTCCCCCCCTTCAACTCCACGGAGGTCAGCGCTATGGGGACACAGAGGTCAGAGGTTTACACTACGGTGACACCGAGAGGTCAAGAGGGTCATATCATGCTTTTTCTTGCATTAACGTTAATTGATTAATTGATTAATTGATTTGATCATTTTAGAATGCATGGGAAGTTGTTCCATCACTACATAGAAACAACAACGCACTCAAAACTATTGAAGATGAACAGAGGAGAAATTTACTAGCTAAGCGTTTGCAGAATGTTTTTTCCAAAAATGATTTCATTATTGAAGACAGAACAAAAAGGTCAAATAAAGGTTAGACATGTGAACGCAGGATGAACTGATAAAACAAGTAGAAACAGATCAACTCTCAGGTCAAACTGTTATCTGGGTTTTAGTGAATATCAGATATTGTTGTGTGTGGGGGTCCAGTCACCGGTGAGGTCTGAGGAGCTCAGTTTCTTTTTGTTGATGCCCATTTGGCTCTTATAGTCGTGGACCTGAGTCCTCACCAGACGCAGGTCCCGCCTCAGATCATTGATCTCCTTTATCAGAGACACGTTCTCCTGTAAAAAACACATGAAACGGAACATCAGTGCTAAACTGAATTTAGGATTTTGAAATATCAGTGGAATTTAATTAGTGGAATATGGAATGTGAATAAACCACATATAATGGAAGTTAAATTCCCAACTCTCAAAATTGGGTAGTGGGCGTCATCATTTTCTGGTTGAAAACTCAGTCAAGGGGGGAAACCTTTTGAAACGGTTAAGTACAACCTACATTTATCCAATAAGAACAGATTTTCGTTATCCGTTGCAAAATGTTTTGCTACAATGTGCCCTACTGAACACAACCCTGGTTTTCACGTTGAAGCATTGTCTCCTCAGCCAGATGGCTTTTCAACCCATTTTGCCCACAGGGCTTCGGTTGGTGTTGACGAGCGTCTCTCCCTCCCACCTTCATGATCTTGACGTTGTCTGTCCGGTGGACCTCTGTGTCTTTGGCCAGCTTCCTCTTCAGAGACGCCACGTTCCTCTCCAGGTGCTCCCTCTGACGACTGTACTCTCTCTGGATGTCTGCGTCCACACCCACTATGTCCACCTCAACGCACACACACACACACATTCATTTTACTAGCAGGTGTGTTTTTTGTGTTTCCTGAATATTTATGCCGGAAGCTAACTGGTAATCCATACACTTAAAGTGGTACTAAATGAAAAACAGTTTAGAAATGCATCCAACTAATCTGTGTTAAGTGTGTGTCTGTGAGCCAGCATGTGGAGCAGCACTTGAGTGTGTGTGTGTGTGTGTGTGTGTGTATGTATTCCCCTGTAGCTCAGTTGGTAGAGCATGGCGCTTGCAACGCCAGGGTTGTGGGTTCGTTTCCCACGGGGGGGCCAGTATGAAAATGTCTGCACTCACTAACTGTAAGTCGCTCTGGATAAGAGCGTCTGCTAAATGACTAAAATGTAAATGTAATGTATGCGTGTGTGATCGTCCTGGCATAACCTTCCACACAGATCCTTTTTAGTGTGTATGTATGTATCTATGTATCTATGTGTGTATGTATGTATGTATGTATGTATGTATGTGTGTGTGTGTGTGTATTCTATGTATGTTTGTGTGTGTGTGTGTGTGTGCGTCCACTGGTATGTATAGCCATCTCACCACATCACTCTGCTGAACGTAGCGGTCGTACAGCTCTCGGATACTATCCTTGAGTTTCTTGGGCTCCTGGATGAAGCCTACGCAGTTATGGAGGTCTGTCTTGAACCTGCGTACCAGGGCCTCCACGTCCCTCACCTGGGTGAAGAGAGCAAGGGTACACCATGATGGTTTCTGTAATTACCATAGACAGACATATTCATATACTTTGTTTATGTACATCATTGGGCTATGTCTTTGAACTAGGCCTATATACTCTAAGCCAGGGGTCTCCAACCTTTTCTAGCATGAGAACTTTTAAAAAATGAAACGTTGCGGGCAAAAAAATTTTTTTATAGCTTTCAAATAGGCCCATTCTTTCCTTCTCTACCCTGCAACTCTTCCCCGGGAGCTTGGTGTACAAGATATGCGTTTTCCGTCAATATACCTGGTAATATAATGGTTAATAAACAGTACTTTGCATGACAGGCCCCATAAAATAATTTTTAGTACTTTCCCGAATTCTGTTTTTCAGTTTTTTACTCTCAATATTACAATTATTCATAGAGAAAAAAGGGAAATGGATGTTCTGAGTCCATGCCAACCCTTAAATCACATCAGATGACCATTTCTCCAGTCTGAAAAAAATATCATTTAGATTTATGAGTGTATTTCCCCTTTAATTGTGCGTCCAGCAGGAGAGGAATGTTTCGGTCTAGCGATGTGTCTGCTGTTAGGCCTACTGCTGCCGCACATGTCATGGCAGAGTTAGCAAAACAGTCGCCACCCAATTGATACAAATAATCATGATATAGTTCTGTCAGAAAAGCCTACTTTGCAGTTTACATTTAACTGAGAAGGATTATGGGGGAAATTCATTCTGTCTACAAACAAGACAGCTAACTGGCTACATATGGCCTGAAGCGCGCATTTGCACCAGACAGACAGAGGCAATATTGCTGGAAATTAATTGGCAGATACTGTGTTACATGTCTAACCAGGGGTGGGATAATGTCAATGTGGCATTGATTGGATAGTAGCCGGGAGTTTTATGTTTATGACAGTTTGCGATGGAACACAGATTGGTGAGCTACTCATAGCTGGTAGCTGGGGATCTACATTTTGGAGACATCTGCTCTAACTATCTCTTCCATTAAACCTCATGATAATATACAGTACATAGCAGTTAAAGACATGCATAGTGTACAAGTGCATATGCAGTAGGGGCTAGGGGTCCATTTAGAATCGGTGGTCACTGTCCATGTCTCTTTAAGATGCTCTGCTATGTACAGTGTTTTCATGAGGTTTAGGGAAAGATTTAGTTTGAGCCTTCTCTCGCTCTCCCCATAATTCCCCCAAACCTCTCTGATTCTCATGTAAAGCAGACAGGCGTCCTCCAGTCTATCTCACCCTCTGCATATCCTTGTGCATCTCCTTATCGGTGGCTTTCAGTTTGAGCCTCAGCTCAGTGATGTTCAGCTCCAGTTGAGTGTTCTTCTTGTGGACCTGGTCCAGCTCGCCCTCCATCTAACAAAGAGAGCATCCATTGGCCAGTCAATCTCAATGAGTGCTACAATACATGCCACTTATACACTGAGTGTACAAAACATTAAGAACACCTGCTCTTTCTGCGAATTAGACTGACCAGGTGAATCCAGGTGAAAGCTATGATCCTTTATTGATGTTAAATCCACTTCAATCAGTGTAGATGAAGGGGAGGAGACGGGTTAAAGAATACTGCGCCATACTCTACCAACTGAGCAACAAAGGACCACTGAGACCATCTAAAACCAGATCTAGCTTTCTCTCACCTCTTGAATCTGCTCCTTCATCTCCTTGATGTCGTTCTCTCTGGGCTCAATCTGTTTCTTCAGTTCTTTGATCTTGTAGTCCAGGACAAACTTGAACTTCTCCAGCTCCTGGTTCTTCTTCTTCAGGTCATATATTCTCTTCTCCTGCAAAGGGGGAAAGGAGTTTTGTTACCTCTTTTATAACCCAAAACGTTTCTCTGTTGTCCCAATAGCTACAGTTTGTGACCTGTAGTAGTTATATCTGACATTTTGGTCAAAAATTAGTTATTCACATTTAGGCTGTCCTTTACATGTGAGATAAGTACATTTACGATGAAAAAATTAAAAATCTGAAAGGACCATCTGGGCAAACACCTTTTAACTTGGTGCTTAAAGGTCCTATCTGCAATCCAATCACACAATGCTGGGTTGTCAGTTGATATACTTATTGAGTCAAAAAGAGGAAGACATCACAAAACAGTTCTGAGATCTGGACTTGAAAAATACCCATTATCTCAAAACTATACAATTTGAAGATAGAACCTTACAGTCCTACATCCTTCATTATTCATATCATATGTTCTGGTCCTCTTTTTAATTACTTGGATTTTTTTTCACTACTTTTTCTGAAGAATGGTCCAAACTACTAAATACAGGGGCCTTAGATCATGTTTTAGGCCCTTAGGAGAGACTGTTTGTCTTGTTCTATATCAATAGGAAAACCTCAATGGAAGGAGTATTTCACTAAAATTACAAACTTACCACATTTAATTTTATTGATAACTAGCAAGTAGTTTACTGCCTTTGGGTGTCAGAGACTATACAAATATATCAGTTTACTCATCCAGAGCTAAGCTTTAGCAATGTTGCTAGTTATCCATAAGATATACACTGAGTTTACCAAACATTAGGAACACTTTCCGAATATTGAGTTGCACAGCCCCCCCCCCCCCCCCCCCCCCCCCTCTGCCCTCAGAACAGCCTCAATTCATCGGGGCAACGACTCTGCAAGGTGTCAAAAGCGTTCCACAGGGATTCTGGCCCATGTTGACTCCAAAGTTTCCCACAGTTGTGTCAAGTTGGCTGGATGTCCTTTGGGTAGTGGAACATTCTTGATAGACATGGGAAACTGTTGAGCGTGAAAACCCCAGCAGCGTTGCAGTTCTTGACACAAACCGGTGTGCCTGGCACCTACTACCATACACACATACATAATCCATGTCTCAATTGTCTCAAGGCTTAAAACTCCTTCTTTAACTTGTCTCCTCCCCTTCATCTATACCGATTGAAGTGGATTTAACAAATGAATAAGGGATCATAGCTTTCACCTGGATTCACCTGGTCAGTCTATGTCATGGAAAGAGCAGGTGTTCCTAATGTTTTGTCCACTCAGTGTAGTGTATTTGTCATTTTAGGAAACTATTGTTTTAACAAATGTGTGATGAACATCAATTAATATTTTGGATGATGTGATTAGAAAGAAGGGTATTCTCTTTTTTTAATCATTAAATGTCTGTACTTTTCTATTGAAATTGAAATAATTTGAACACATTGAAATAAATTGAACACAATTTGAACACCCATTAGGGCAATTGCACCCCCCTAAAAAAACAGATTTACAAATGTCTCAGGATGTTGATACTCTGTACATTAGGTGCCTTTAAGGTGAGGACCTTAATGGGTTATGAAAGAAGAATTATTTACAACATTTTCAGTTGTATTTCAGTAAAGATGTTCCAGAAGAAGAAGCTAACATAGTCTGTGTCTCGTCTCCCTACCAATAACTGGTGTTAGAAGGGGGACCCAATACATCCAATACACAATAGCCCCCTATACAGAACGTGTCCTAGGTCATGTTTAGTTTTTCTGTTAAAAAATGTTTTCAAAGGGAAAACAAAAAACAACATTTCTTTTTCCCTGTCTCAGTCCCTTTTCTTCTGTTTGGTGCCTAATGAACATGACCTTGTCCATCCCCACTTTGACTTGGATGGTCTCGTCTCTCTCCTGGATCTCCTTCTTCAGGCCCACAATGTGCTATTCTAACCCTCCCATAGCCTAGGGTCCTTTAGTCCCTGTTCCCACTCCATCCCCCCCGCAGCCACCCACCACCCACCTTATCCTGGATGGTCTCGTCCCTCTCTTGGATCTCTTTCTTCAGGCCCAGGATGTCCTTCTCCAGGGACTTGATGACCCCCCGCAGCTTCTGCTGCTCCACCCTCAGCTTCTCAATCTCCACATTGCGCTCGTCTATGTCCTTCTGCAGGCTGCTGAACTGTCATGCCAGAGAGGGGAGAAGACAGAGAGGGGGACCGGAGAGAGAAGACAGAGAGGGGAGAAGATAGAGACAGGGGACCGGAGAGAGAAGACAGAGAGGGGGACCGGAGAGAGAAGACAGAGACAGGGGACCGGAGAGAGACAGGGGACCGGAGAGAGAAGACAGAGAAGGGAGAAGACAGAGACAGGGGACCGGAAAGAGAAGACAGAGAGGGGGACCGGAGAGAGACAGGGGACCGGAGAGAGAAGACAGAGAAGGGAGAAGACAGAGACAGGGGACCGGAGAGAGAAGACAGAAAGGGGGACCGGAGAGAGAAGACAGAGAAGGGAGAAGACAGAGACAGGGGACCGGAGAGAGAAGACAGAGAGGGGGACCGGAGAGAGAAGACAGAGAGGGGAGAAGACAGAGAGGGGGACCGGAGAGAGAAGACAGAGAGGGGGACCGGAGAGAGACAGGGCACCGGAGAGAGAAGACAGAGAGAGGGACCGGAGAGAGACAGGGGACCGGAGAGAGAAGACAGAGAAGGGAGAAGACAGAGACAGGGGACCGGAGAGAGAAGACAGAAAGGGGGACCGGAGAGAGAAGACAGAGAGGGGAGAAGACAGAGAGGGGGACCGGAGAGAGAAGACAGAGAGGGGAGAAGATAGAGACAGGGGACCGGAGAGAGAAGACAGAGAGGGGGACCGGAGAGAGAAGACAGAGAGGGGAGAAGACAGAGAGGGGGACCGGAGAGAGAAGACAGAAAGGGGGACCGGAGAGAGAAGACAGAGAGGGGGACCGGAGAGAAAAGACAGAGAGGGGAGAAGACAGAGACGGGGACCAGAGAGAGAAGACAGAGAGGGGGACCGGAGAGAGAAGACAGAGAGGGGGACCGGAGAGAGAAGACAGAGACAGGGACCAGAGAGAGAAGACAGAGAGGGGGACCGGAGAGCGAAGACAGAGAGGGGAGAAGACAGAGACGGGGACCGGAGAGAGAAGACAGAGAGGGGAGAAGACAGAGAGGGGGACCGGAGAGAGAAGACAGAGAGGGGAGAAGATAGAGACGGGGACCGGAGAGAGAAGACAGAGAGGAGAGAAGACAGAGACGGGGACCGGAGAGAGAAGACAGAGAGGGGGACCAGACAGAGAAGACAGAGACGGGGGACCGGAGAGAGAAGACAGAGACGGGGACCGGAGAGAGAAGACAGAGAGGGGGACCGGAGAGAGAAGACAGAGATGTGGACCGGAGCGAGAAGACAGAGAGGGGAGAAGACAGAGACGGGGGACAGGAGAGAGAAGACAGAGAGGAGAGAAGACAGAGAGGGGGACCGGAGAGAGAAGACAGAGAGGGGAGAAGACAGAGGGGGGGACCGGAGAGAGAATAAGACATGCTTCAAAGGGTGTGAATGAGAAGTGGAGATTCTATAGATTATAGAATAGATATTTCATAGATAGAATATATTGTAGCAGCCTATACTGTATGTGGAAGCTATAACATACTGTATGTGGAAGCTATAACATACTGTATGTGGAAGCTATAACATACTGTATGTGGAAGCTATAACATACTGTATGTGGAAGCTATAACATACTGTATGTGGAAGCTATAATAATAATATAATAATATGCCATTTAGCAGACGCTTTTATCCAAAGCGACTTACAGTCATGCGTGCATACATTTTTGTGTATGGGTGGTCCCGGGGATCGAACCCACTACCTTGGCGTTACAAGCGCCGTGCTCTACCAGCTGAGCTACAGAGGACCACATTCTATAACATACTGTATTTCATCAAAGACATTAGAGGACTGGAGAAGTCATTGTGTTCACTGTTTTTTTGTGTTCTGGTTTTTACATGATGAGTGGATTAAAGTTATTATACGACTGGGGAACGAAAGAGTGAAGATGACTGTTTATTTTGCATTCACCTTTTTCCTCATGATGCCCGTCTCTCCCTTCAGGCGCAGGTTGATCTCTTTCTCTTCCCGTAGCTTCCTCTCATACTTGATGCGGATGTCCTGGATCTCCCGGTCTCCGTCCTCCTCCATCTGCTTCTTGGACTCCTCAAACTCCCTCACCTGCTGCCTGGACTCATCCTGACACTGAGACACACACACACAAGCATCCATGCACACGCACACAACACAGAACTCAGATACACCAAAATGATAAGCTTAAAGAGGGGCTGAACATGGCTTTTCCGCCTGCTCATTAAGAAATGCAAGAAGCCATGAGCGAGAGCTGTTTTGGGGGTGTGGTTTGATGTAGGTGTGTTATATTCGCTATAGCCTACCGTAGTGTGTTCCGCTTTACCCGCCGTAGTTGAAATATCCAAACAGCCACAGTACCAACCGTATGATGCAGCATGACAACGTGGACGTGATTGGTCAACAATCCCAAGCCCTGAGTTTCCTCTTTTCTAGAGTAGTATCGTTGATGACAGTTGTGTTTGTGATGGAGCTCGGCCTGGTAGAAGAGGGTGAGCTCCTCCAGGGTACCCCCTAGAGCCCTCCGCCCACCCCCAGACCCCCCAGTCCCTACCCCCTACCCCCTCATCCGCCCTCACCTGGCCCAGCATGAGCATCTTCTCCTGGAGCTTGGCCTCGTAGAAGAGGGTGAGCTCCTCCAGGGCGCGGCCCTTGCTGTCCTCCATGGCCTGCAGCTGCCGCTCGTAGCCCTCCTGCATGCGCTGCGACTTGAGCTGCAGCTCCTGGTACTTCTCGTACTCCAGCATCAGCTTCTGGTTACTGGTCGACTCTGGGGAATGAAGAAGATGATGATATGTTCCTCTAACAGACGCCTTTACCTTAAACAGCCTACAGTTTACACCTTATGGTGTGGCCCATGCGGGAATCAAACCCACTCCTCGTGGAGGGTGTGCGTTTATGAGTGTGCAAATGTTGCAGTAAAATAAGGGGCCCAGCGGGGTTATTGAATACAAAACTTGACTCTTAATATTCTGTTAAATGAGTTCTGTTGTAAACTATTAAGAGGTTACATTCAGGTAAGGTCATACGGTTTCAGAATATTTTTTAGATTCAAGTTTCTTTTAAGAAATTGCATTCAAGTGTGATTGCGTAGATCTTTTCCTCCTCTGTCACCGAAATCCTGCTGTTCTCTCGAGTGTTTCTCCACGACCTCCCCCATGACCTCCAGGTGGGACAACTCCTGCTTCTCCTTCTCCGTTTTCAGGACCTGCAACACAACAGATCAGACCTGGGTTCAATTATCTTGATCAATTAGTGTTTGCTTTAGGCTGTCTGGAGGGCCAGGTGGGCGGGTTTGTCATTTATTTGACTTTTTCTACTGGTTCTATTAAAACAGGGAAGCTCAGTCAAGCCCAGATAAGAGTATTCGAAATGATTTCAAATAGTATTTGTAGCCAGGTCTGCAACTAAATATGTATATAAACATATACACATATAGGCTATGAATATGCATGTCTATATAAGCACAACGGATGGACCATGACCCTGAATGAAGTGTTCTCTCAAAGGAAAATGTATTGAGTGTTGACATACAAACATCTGCACATTTGTCCCATATCAGGTGCTGCATTAGAGTAAACAGTAATGTTTGTTTGTGAGAAATAAGCAATAGTTGAGATTGAATCTGCTTTTAGCAGACTACATTGAAGAACAAATATCTGCTTTCATATAGGAGATGTAGTCTGCACAATGCGCTCGTCTAGCTTCTTCACTCACAGGAAAACAGATATCTGTTCTTCGAGTAGCCTGCTAAAAACCTATTCACCTTCAACTCAAATTCACTCTCCACTGTAGTATAGTGCTCACAAACAGTTTCCTGCATTAGGCCTAATAGAGTTCAGGTAAGTTTCTAGGCCCGTTTCAAGGCCCAGTGAACAGTATTAAAAAACCTATTTAAATGTAGTGCAGTTCACCAGCCTCGATTCAATAGTTGTATTTTATCTGGATATCAGCATGTTTGGGTTTAGTCCCCATGTTCACTACACTCTCAGGTGCAGACAGTATCAAGCATCAACAGTATCAAGCCTCAACAGTATCAAGCCTCAACAGTATCAAGCCTCAACAGTATCAAGCCTCAACAGTATCAAGCCTCAACAGTAAGCAGGTGCATACAGTATCAAGCCTCAACAGTATCAAGCCTCAACAGTAAGCAGGTGCAGACAGTATCAAGCCTCAACAGTATCAAGCCTCAACAGTAAGCAGGTGCATACGGTATCAAGCCTCAACAGTATCAAGCCTCAACAGTAAGCAGGTGCATACAGTATCAAGCCTCAACAGTATCAAGCCTCAACAGTATCAAGCCTCAACAGTATCAAGCCTCAACAGTAAGCAGGTGCATACAGTATCAAGCCTCAACAGTATCAAGCCTCAACAGTAAGCAGGTGCATACAGTATCAAGCCTCAACAGTATCAAGCCTCAACAGTAAGCAGGTGCAGACAGTATCAAGCCTCAACAGTATCAAGCCTCAACAGTAAGCAGGTGCATACGGTATCAAGCCTCAACAGTATCAAGCCTCAACAGTAAGCAGGTGCATACAGTATCAAGCCTCAACAGTATCAAGCCTCAACAGTAAGCAGGTGCATACGGTATCAAGCCTCAACAGTATCAAGCCTCAACAGTAAGCAGGTGCATACAGTATCAAGCCTCAACAGTATCAAGCCTCAACAGTATCAAGCCTCAACAGTATCAAGCCTCAACAGTATCAAGCCTCAACAGTAAGCAGGTGCATACAGTATCAAGCCTCAACAGTATCAAGCCTCAACAGTATCAAGCCTCAACAGTATCAAGCCTCAACAGTATCAAGCCTCAACAGTATCAAGCCTCAACAGTATCAAGCCTCAACAGTAAGCAGGTGCAGACAGTATCAAGCCTCAACAGTAAGCAGGTGCAGACAGTATCAAGCCTCAACAGTAAGCAGGTGCAGACAGTATCAAGCCTCAACAGTAAGCAGGTCCATACAGTATCAAGCCTCATCAGTAAGCAGGTCCATACAGTATCAAGCCTCAACAGTATCAAGCCTCAACAGTATCAAGCCTCAACAGTAAGCAGGTCCATACAGTATCAAGCCTCAACAGTAAGCAGGTCCATACAGTATCAAGCCTCATCAGTAAGCAGGTCCATACAGTATCAAGCCTCATCAGTAAGCAGGTCCATACAGTATCAAGCCTCATCAGTAAGCAGGTGCAGACTCTAAAAGGTTAGTCTGTGCCGTGCTACTGTAGAACAATTGCTGCAATGCGTGTGCAACACAGCGCTCTAGCCACAGCATATCCCAGTGATAGTTTGTCCCAGAAACCTGTACCACAGCCCGCAACTATGGGTCAAGCAACAAACTGACACTGTGTGAGTCAGTTGTACCTGGTTTTTGGTCTTGAGGGATTCGATCTCTTGGACAAACTTCTCTGAGAGGTCCTTGATTTTCTCGTTGTAGTTCATGTCCTTCAGGCGCAGCTGGTACTCATTCTCCATCTTCAGCTCCTCCACACGGGTATTCAGCTCCATCATGATCTGGTTCTGTTACAATAGAATAAAGTAGAATATAATAGAGTAGAATAGAACAGTAGAATAGAACAGTAGAATAGAACAGAGTAGAATAGAACAATAGAATAGAACAGAGTAGAATAGAACAGTAGAATAGAACAGTAGAATAGAACAGTAGAATAGAACAGAGTAGAATAGAACAGTAGAATAGAACAGAGTAGAATAGAACAGTAGACTATAACAGAGTAGAATAGAACAGTAGAATAGAACAGTAGAATAGAACAAGTAGAATAGAACAGAGTAGAATAGAACAGTAGAATAGAAAGAGTAGAATAGAACAGTAGAATAGAACACAGTAGAATAGAACAGTAGAATAGAAAACAGTAGAATAGAACAGAGTAGAATAGAACAGTAGAATAGAACAGTAGAATAGAACAGAGTAGAATAGAACAGTAGAATAGAACAGTAGAATAGAACAGAGTAATAACATAGAACAGTAAATAGAACAGATAGAATAGAACAGTAGAATAGAACAGTAGATAGACAGTAGAATAGAACAGAGTAGAATAGAACAGAGTAGAATAGAACAGTAGAATAGAACAGTAGAATAGAACAGAGTAGAATAGAACAGTAGAATATAACAGTAGAATAGAACAGAGTAGAATAGAACAGTAGAATAGAACACAGTAGAATAGAACAGTAGAATAGAACAGAGTAGAATAGAACAGTAGAATAGAACAGAGTAGAATAGAACAATAGAATAGAACAGAGTAGAATAGAACAGTAGAATAGAACAGTAGAATAGAACAGTAGAATAGAACAGAGTAGAATAGAACAGTAGAATAGAACAGAGTAGAATTAGAACAGTAGAATAGAACGTTAGATAAAAACAGTAGAATAGACATAGAGAATAGAACAGTAGAATAGAACAGTAGAATAGAACAGAGTAGAATAGAACAGTAGAATAGAACAGTAGGAATAGAAACAGTAGAATAGAACAGTAGAATAGAACAATAGTAGATAGAACAGAGTAGAATAGAACAGTAGAATAGAACAGTAGATAGAACAGAGTAGAATAGAACAGTTAGAATAGAAACGAGTAGAATAGAACAGTAGAATAGAACAGTATAGAAATAGAACAAGTAGAATAGAACAGTAGAAAGAACAGTAGAATAGAAACATAGTAGAATAGAACAGTAGAATAGACAGTAGAATAAACAGTAGAATAGAAACAGTAGAATAGAACAGAGTAGAATAGACATAGAATGAACTAGATGAACAGAGTAGAATAGAACAGTAGAATAGAAACAGTAGAATAGAACAGTAGAATAGAACAGTAGAATAGAACAGTAGAATAGAACAGTAGTAGAATAGAACAGTAGAATAGAACAGAGTAGAATAGAACAGAGATATAGAACAGTGAATAGAACAGTAGAATAGAACAGAGTAGAATAGAACAAATAGAATAGAACGAGTAGAATAGAACAGTAGAATAGAACAGTAGAATAGAACAAGTAGAATAGAACAGTAGAATAGAACAGTAGAATAGAACAGTAGAATAGAACAGAGTAGAATAGAACAGTAGAATAGAACAGAGTAGAATAGAAGAGTAGAATAGAACAGTAGAATAGAACATAGTAGAATACAGAAAAACAGAGTAGAATAGAACAGAGTAGAATAGAACAAGTAGAATAGAACAGTAGAATAGAACGTAGAATGAAGATAGAAAGAGTAGAATAGAACAGAGTATAGAATAGAACAAATAGAATAGAACAGTAGATAGAACAGTAGAATAGAACAGTAGAATAGAACAGTAGAATAGAACAGATGTAGAATAGAACAGAGTAGAATAGAACAGTAGAATAGAACAGTAGAATAGAACAGTAGAATAGAACAGAGTAGAATAGAACAGTAGAATAGAACAGAGTAGAATAGAACAGTAGAATAGAACAGTAGAATAGAACAGAGTAGAATAGAACAGTAGAATAGAACAGATAGAATAGAAACAGTAGAATAGAACACAGTAGATAGAATAGAACAAATAGAATAGAACAGTAGAATAGAACAGAGTAGAATAGAACAGGGTAGAATAGAACAGAGTAGAATAGAACAGTAGAATAGAACAGTAGAATAGAACAGTAGAATAGAACAGAGTAGAATAGAACAGAGAATAGAACAGAGTAGAATAGAACAGTAGAATAGAACACAGTAGAATAGAACAGAGTAGAATAGAACAGAGTAGAATAGAACAGTAGAATAGAACACAGTAGAATAGAACACAGTATAATAGAACAGAGTAGAATAGAACAGTAGAATAGAACAGTAGAATAGAACAGAGTAGAATAGAACAGAGTAGAATAGAACAGAGTAGAATAGAACAGTAGAATAGAACACAGTAGAATAGAACAGTAGAATAGAACACAGTAGAATAGAACAGTAGAATAGAACAGTAGAATAGAACAGAGTAGAATAGAACAGTAGAATAGAACAGAGTAGAATAGAACAGAGTAGAATAGAACAGAGTAGAATAGAACAGTAGAATAGAACACAGTAGAATAGAACACAGTATAATAGAACAGAGTAGAATAGAACAGTAGAATAGAACAAGTAGAATAGAACAAGTAGAATAGAACAAGTAGAATAGAACAGAGTAGAATAGAACAGAGTAAATAGAACAGTAGAATAGAACAGTAGAATAGAACACAGTAGAATAGAACGAGTATAGAATAGAACAAGTAGAATAGAACAGTAGAATAGAACAGTAGAATAGAACAGAGTAGAATAGAACAGAGTAGAATAGAACAGTAGAATAGAACAGTAGAATAGAACAGTAGAATAGAACAGTAGAATAGAACAGTAGAATAGAACAGTAGAATAGAACAGAGTAGAATAGAACAGTAGAATAGAACCAGTAGAATAGAACAGAGTAGAATAGAACAGAGTAGAATAGAACAGTAGAATAGAACACAGTAGAATAGAACACAGTATAATAGAACAGAGTAGAATAGAACAGTAGAATAGAACAGTAGAATAGAACAGAGTAGAATAGAACAGAGTAGAATAGAACAGAGTAGAATAGAACAGTAGAATAGAACAAGTAGAATAGAACAGTAGAATAGAACACAGTAGAATAGAACAGTAGAATAGAACAGTAGAATAGAACAGAGTAGAATAGAACAGTAGAATAGAACACAGTAGAATAGAACAGAGTAGAATAGAACAGAGTAGAATAGAACAGTAGAATAGAACACAGTAGAATAGAACAGAGTAATAAATAGAACAGAGTAGAATAGAACAGTAGAATAGAACAGTTAGAATAGAACAGTAGTAGAATAGAACAGTAGAATAGAACACAGTAGAATAGAACAGAGTAGAATAGAACAGAGTAAATAGAACAGTAGAATAGAACACAGTAGAATAGAACACAGTATAATAGAACAGAGTAGAATAGAACAGTAGAATAGAACAGTAGAATAGAACAGAGTAGAATAGAACAGAGTAGAATAGAACAGAGTAGAATAGAACAGTAGAATAGAACACAGTAGAATAGAACAGTAGAATAGAACACAGTAGAATAGAACAGTAGAATAGAACAGTAGAATAGAACAGTAGAATAGAACAGTAGAATAGAACAGAGTAGAATAGAACAGTAAATAACAAGTAGATAGAACAGTAGAATAGAACAGTAGAATAGAACAGATGAATAGAACGAGTAGTAGAATAGAAAGAGTAGAATAGAACAGTAGAATAGAACACAGTAGAATAGAACAGTAGAATAGAAACAGTAGAATAGAACAAGTATAAATAGAACAGTAGAATCGAACCTATAATAGAACATAGAAAGAACAGAGTAAGAAGAGAACATTAGAATAGAACAGTACAATAGAACAGAGTAGAATAGAACAGTAGACAATAGAACAGAGTAGAATAGAACAGTAGAATAGAACAGAGTAGAATAGAACAGTAGAATAGAACAGAGTAGAATATAACAGAGTAGAGTTTATTGGGGGGGACAGAGAGTAGGAAGGCAATGAATGATCAAGAGCAACAACCTACAGACTACGATCAAGATAACCATTTACATAGTCCTACTGCAGGCATGTAACTCAAAGCATTAGTAGCAATGGGCAAACCAGATGTAACTCAAAAGACATGCAAGTGTTTTAACTCTATTTTCTCTCTCTCTCTCTCTTTTCTCCATAATCAACAGCTACTCCGTCATGACCAGCACCTTCTCCTCCAGGTCTGACTTGGTAATGAGGATCTCCTCAGCGTAGGTGATCTCCTTGTCTCTCTTCAGGCTGCGGCCCTCCTTGTCTATGATCTTCCAGATGAGCAGACAGCCGTCCTCAGACACCGTCAGCAGGTACTGGTCGTCAAACGTGATCACCATCTGAGTAGGGACAGGGTAATAATAATTATAATAATACATTTTATTTGGTGGACGCCTGTCAGGGTACTCAAGGAGATCTTATATTAACAGTAGGCCTACATAAAGCCAAGTGCAGTATTACATTTACATTTTAGTCATTTAGCAGACGCTCTTATCCAGAGCGACTTACAGTTAGTGAATACATATTATTTTTTATACTGGCCCCCCGTGGGAATCGAACCCACAACCCTGGCGTTGCAAACGCCATGCTCTATCAACTGAGCTACATCCCTGCCGGCCATTCCCTCCCCTACCCTGGAAAACGCTGGGCCAATTGTGCGCCGCCCATGAGTCTCCCGGTAGCGGCCGGCTGCGACAGAGCCTGGATTCGAACCAGGATCTAGTGGCACAGTTAGCACTGCGATGCAGTGCCTTAGACCACTGCGCCACTCAGGAGTATAATTGATGCAATTGATTTTATATCAGTATATAAAATCAATTGCATCAATCAAAGTAAAATGTAAATCAAAGGACCAGACTAAACAGGACAGATAAAAAAGAGGATGGAGGGGTTGGGAATAGCATACAAACCCGGTTTAGGGTAAGGGTTACTGAGAATGCACAGAAGGGGGGGTGGGGTAGAACAGAGTCAATCATACAACACAGACTATAGGTTACAGGCATCCTTGAAGAGGTGTGTTTTTATTAGGTTTTTGAATGAGATGACTGTGTCTGAATGTTGTATGTGTGTGGGGGGTGTATTCCAGAGCCTGGGGGCAGAGCAGCTGAAGGCCCGGGCACCCATGGTGGCGAGACGGAATGGGGGGGAGACAAGGAAACCAGCAGAGGAGGAGTGAAGGGAGTGGGAATAGACTGGGAAAAGGTCAGAGAGGTAGATGTTGATTAGGCACCAAATGGAAGGAAAACGGACTGAAACAGGAAATGACTACCTGGAAAATAAATGCTTATTTTTCGCTTTCCCATTGCGAAACGTTTTAAAACTAATGGACACGGTCCTAGGTTGTGTTCAGTAGGGCACATCATAGCAAAAATGTTTTGCAAGGAAAAATGGAAATTGGTGTTCTTATCGGAAGAGTTCAGGTGGTACCTCCCTGTTTCACTCCATTATGAAACATTTTCTCATTAGTGAACAAGACCAACGTGATCATCATTATTTAGATTGGTTCATTCAGTAGACTTTACTGTACAATGTACCGGTAACTGCCATAATAAATAAAGGAAACACCAACATAAAGTGTCTTAGTAGGGCGTTGGGCCACCACGAGCCAGAATAGTTTCAATGCACCTTGGCATGGATTCTACAAGTGTCTGGAACTCTATTGGAGGGATGCGACATCATTCTCCCACGGGAAATTCCATAATTTGGTGTTTTGTTGATGGTGGTGGAAAACGCTATCTCAGGCACCGTTCCAGAATCTCCCGTAAGTGTTCAGTTGGGTTGAGATCTAGTGACTGAGCCACACACACACACACACAGACACAGACACAGACACAGACACACACACACACACACACACACAGACACAGACACACACACACACAGACACACACACACCCTTTAAACCCTCTATGCTCCTTTGAGACTCCTCTTTGGAAGTCACTGAGATCTATTCTTCTAGCCATGGTATTCCAAATAATGGGCAAACTGGAAATGTTTATACATGACCCTAAGCATGATGGGATGTTAATTGCTTAAATAACTCAGGAACCACACCTGTGTGGAAGCACCTGCTTTCAATATACTTTGTATCCCTCATTTACTCAAGTGTTTCCTTTATTTTGGCAGCTACATGTACATGATGGGGGAAATCCACTGGGGAAATGAGAGCAGAAATGAGAGCGTGATAAATGTCCATACAGTTGCGTTGATTTGATTTGCTTTCACTTCAAATGAAGTCTGGCCCGAGATATCATAGATCAAGCATCAACTGATCTGCAAGATTTGGACTTTCCCAGATCTGTTTGTGCTGTATCGTCAAATCCTATGGTAGTCGTCGTTTACATGGCAATGACCAAAGGAGTCAGCACAAACAGATCTTGCAGGTACGCCACAATTGAATGTTCTGGGATTGGGCAAAACATCACACACCCACCCTGGTGACAGCCCCTGAGTGGGCCTGGTACTCGATCCAGTCTTTCTGTGTGGATAGAGGGTACTTGATGGCCCTGACGGTTCCAATGGAGGTCCCTGCGAAGAGCATCCGTCCCGAGCGGGACATTGCGATGGTGGTGTAGGCCACGTCGTCCGCTGCCACCTCCCTAAGGATCTGAGAACAGTTTGCCACATTGGTACAAAGCACAAGCCCGGCCCCAGATAAGGTTGTGCTGTCTCATCAACTCCTATGACCATAGTTGGCAAGACAGCACAAACAGATCTGGGATTAGGCTAGTACAAAGCACCACGTCACTCCCACTAGGGGCTTCCTCTCCTTATAGTGGCAAGGCAGAGGGAGAAGAGGACGCAAGGTGAAACTGGGCTGACATTCTGCACATTTTCTCATCCATGAAACCATAGAAATGGATCTCTGTGGATGAAACATTCAATCTAAATGCAGTTTTCTATTCCCAAAACTACAATTTGTTACGAACAGAGTTCCTAAACTAAGTTTTGTAGACTTGACTCAAGTTCTTGCACAAAGTGTTTTAACTGATCTTATCTAGGGAACCACCCTGAGCTGAGGGTATAACCTCAATCCCACCTGACATTCTTGGATCTCCTTCAGGGTACAGTCTGTCCCCACGGCGAAGATAGTCTTGGCATCAGGCGAGATGGTGACGCCAGTGTAGCTGCAGGACTTCAGAACGCTCTCCGACTCGCGCTTGCTGTTCAGCGTGTTCCACTCGTACACGGCCCCGTCCATCCCGCACGACACCAGGCGACTGTCGTCCGTGCTCCACACGATGGCCCGCACCTGACAGACAAACCGGTAACTTATTTTGATATCATTTATACACAATAACAAGTCAGACAATACAGAGGTGTAGTAGCGACAGTCAGCAGGGTTTCAGTCTCTGGGGGAAGTTATGTTTGGTGACTATAGGACCACAGCTTTTCCTGCTCAGGTAACAACACACCTTTCCATTGTGACCCTTCAGATTTAAGAGGTTGTCAAATGTAGTGGAGGAGTAGATGTGGATGACGTTTCCGTTGACAGCAGCAAACATGTGTCCCCCATGGCTGAAAGCACACTGTGAAGAGAGAAAGAGATACAAGCAACAAGACATGTTTTATAATTCCATTGACCGCAATACAATATTCATTCATTTAATTTGTCTGACAGTATCTATAGTGAAGTTTATTTTGACATTGAGTCCTTGTAACACACACACACACACCCCTCCATACACTCCTCCACACACCCCACCACACCGCTCCACACACCCCACCACACCTCCACACACACCCCTCCACACAACGCTCCACACACCACCACACACACCCTCCCACACCCTCACACACCCCACCACACACCCTCCACACACACCCTCCACACACCCCACCACACACCCCACCACACACCCTCCACACACCCCTCCACACACCCCACCACACACCCCTCCACACACCCCTCCACACCCCTCCACACAACGCTCCCCACTCCTCCACACACCCACCACACACCCCTCCACACACCCTCCACACACCGCTCCCACTCCTCCACACATCCCTCCACACACCCTCACACACACCCTCCACACCCCTCCACACACCCCACCACACACACCCACCAACACCCCTCCACACACCCCTCCACACCCCTCCACACACCGCTCCCCACTCCTCCACACACCCCCTCCACACACCCCACCACCCACACCACACACACACCCTCCCAACACCCTCCACACACCACTCCCCCAACCCACCAACCCTCACCAACAACACAACCACACCCAAAACCAAACACAAAAAAACAAAACCAAAACAACACAAACAACCAAAAAACACAAAAAACAAACAAAACCAACAAACACACAACACACACAAACACACAAAAACCAAACCACAACCACAAACAAAACACCACAAAACAACACCAACCACAAACCCACTCACACACAACCAAACACACCGACCCACAAACCACAAACCCCACACAACACCACCACCCACACACAACCCACCAACACACACAACCCACCACCCCCCACACACCCCACACCTCCAACACCCCACCAAACCCCCCACACACCCCACACACCACCACACACACCCTCCACACACCCCACACCCCACACCCCAAACACCGCCACCACCCCACCAACACCCACCACACACCCACCACACACCCCACACACACCCCACCCCCACACACCCCACACACCCCACACCCCACACACCGCTCCACACACCCCACACCACACCCCTCAACACCCCACCACAACCACCACACACCGCCTCCAACACCACAACACCCCTCCACAACCCACCACACACGCTCCACCCTCACACACCGCCCCACCACACACCCACCACACACCCCACACACACCCCCCACACCACCCCACAACCAACCGTCACCACAACAGCATCCCACCTCCAAACCCCCACACAAACACCTCCACAACCACCCAACACCTCCACGTCTCCACACCCACACGCACAGACACTCTCAAAATACACCAACACAAATAAGACCGAGTGCACCTACAGCCCCTCCACCACGGCAGCAACAGGCCAGACCTTTTCAACCCTACACATTCCAACCACACACCCTCACAATACACCCCACCACACACCCCACCACACACCTCCACACACGCTCCACACCACCCCCCACACACCCATCCCACACACCCACCACACACCCCACCACACACCGCTCCACACACCCCACCACACACCCCTCCACACACCCCACCACACACCGCTCCCCACCCCTCCACACACCGCTCCACACACCCCTCCACACACCCCTCCACACACTCCTTCCCCCACCTCTCTGCAGCCCCTGACAGTGAACTCCTTGAAGGTCCTAACATCGTCGATGAGCAGGTTCATGAGGCGCAGCTTGTCTGAGAAGCCCACCAGGATGAAGAGACCAGAGGGGTGCAGGGCTACGCTGAAGGCCTCCTCCTGGAACTCCTTATGTAGCTCCAGCACACTGACACAGGCAGGAGGAAAACACTCTTATATATAATACACCATTAGCATAAAGCTGTTGTTGATGGGCTATGCTCCAGGAGGAGTAAGTAAGTACCTTTTTGTGCAAATCAATTTCGTGAAAATCAATTTCGTGTAAATCAATTTTGTGCAAATCCATTTTGTGCAAATCATGCTTTGGAGCCAATAGGAGATTTTCACTAAAGTTTGAATTGAGCGTAGGTTTCTCAAGTCGGGTGACCACATTTAAAATACTCAAATGTGGGACAACAAGAGTGTAGCCTACATGAATATACATTTGTTTAAAAAAAATCCGTACATTAGTGGTGTTTTAATTTGTTGATAAAATGCGGGACATGACTGTTTGGTTGCGGGACGCGGGACAATGGGCCAAAATGCGGGACTGTCCCACAAAATCCGGGACATGAGGTCACCCTGTTCTCAGGTTTCGTCCCACAGTATGAATAGAATGGAATGAAAAGCGCTGAAATATATAACCTAGAGACAACAGACGTACACTAATGGAGAACACAGTTGGGGTTGATTCCATTTCAATTCAGTCAGTTCAGGAAGTGAACTGAAAATTCCCATTTACATTTTTCCCATTGAAAAGCAAAGAGATAATTTCTTACTTGGTCTCAAAGTTCCAGATGCGTACGGAGTGGTCCAGGGAGCATGTTGCGATAAGGGGCTTGCGGATGCAGATGGACAGGCCTGTGATGATGTTGGAGTGAAACGAGTGGGACAGGAACTCAAAGTGGGCTTGCTCCCCCTGGTGGACAACACAGAGAAATGGAGGTTAGTGCAAGAGCACACAAGCCTTTCAACGTCCCAATTCTATACTCTTCTGCCCAAAGTGTGCACTTGTTAACTTACTTTCAAGCACCAATCCAATTATTTGAAATGCACTGGGAGGAGTGCACAAGTGCACACTACGGGTGCAAGGATTGTCTAATGGGAAACCAATATGGTAAATATACTTCACCTAGTCATATTCACGCTCAATCTCGGGCTCTCAACTATATTGCTCTGACCAATCCAAGGATTGGAAGGAAGGAAGGACAGAATAACAAAATAAAGAAAAGTAGAATTTGGACCGAACCTAACCTGGACCTAATCCTGCTGACTGCACGCCCAGTATGCTCTAGCATGCAATGCCATAACAGCTGTTCACCTTGCACACAGCCATAAAGACTATATAATATACCAGGGGTTCTCAAAGTGGGGTCTGTGGCCAGATCTCAAAATATTTCAACAAAACAAAAACGGTCTGTTTGAGATTCAGGTTGGAGGCTGGTGGGAGGAGCTATAGGAGGACGGGCTCATTACAATGGCTGGAATAAATGGAGTTTCCATATGTTTGATACTGTTGCATTGATTTCATTCCAGCCATTACAATGAGCCCGTCCTCCTATAGCTCCTCCCACCAGCCTCCTCTGCCTCAAACTTGTATCTCAAACAGACCATTTAAAAAATGCTTGCTACTTCCTCATAGAGAATGATGTCATACTGCCTTGGCTGAGCTGGCCAATTAGCGGTCTACTCGTATGAATATTTTTTATGACCGGTATACGCCCACAACATTCTGTTGTTGGGGTACGCCCACACCATTCCAACACAGAAAAGTAGCTTTTTAACATACTTAATTACCTTCTTTTTTTTTAAAGAAAACTATTTCACTCATATTGTAATTAATTATAGGTCATATTTCATAGAAATCTGTAAACACTGGGCAGTTACTTTAATACTTCTTGTATTATTATTTTTTTACATAAATGCACTGTAATTTAAGATAGAAAACTGCAAAATGTTATCTCTTCCCCATGACAAAATGTGTAGAATTGCATGAAATTAGCTTGAAAACAGCAAAATGTTTTCTCTGATGCCAAGAGGAGGTCCTTTAAAATGTTCATTCCCAGAGACTTGGTTCGTCCAGCGATGCACTGCCCGAAGTCATAGTAAAATTCCTTGTATGCTATTTTTATCTCACTCGAGTTGTGTTCTGATTATGAGGGGTTTCCTGATTAATTTTCTAACACAAAAGGGGTCTCTGGCCCCCCTGTACTATACATATAGGCCAAGATCACTGCTCACCTTGTTCATCTCAGCAGAGGACAGGGTGATGCTGTAGAGCTGACCACGGTCCGTACTGGTGACCAGGGTCTCCTCTGACGGGCTGATACACAGCGTGACCATCTCCTGCTGCTCCGCATGGCTAGGCTCGTTGCTGCACAGGTCCGCAGGGATCTGACACACACACACACACACATCAAATATGCCCCCCCCCCCTCCACACACACACACACACTCATTTCAAATGAATGAGACCATTTAGAAGTCAAGTTATCGTGTGATCCACACATTGCCATTACCCTGATCTCCCTAGTCTTTCTGTAGTTGTCCTTCTCCTCTGTCTTCTCAAACAGACACACGGTCCCTGGGCCGGCGGAGCAGGCAAAGCCCTTAGAGTAAGACGTGATGGCTGTGACTCTGGGCAGATGGGCTGGGGCTGCTCCCTCTGACTTGGCCTCCTCTGGCTTTCTCCTCTCTAGTTGTCTGTGCCGTGAAAGGACAGTCATTTGTTATCCATTTGAGCATTACATCTGTTTATGATTAGGCTCAGACAGTCCAATTGTCAATGGGGTATAAGTGTGGTAGGATTCCCCCTGCAGGAAGCATTTCTAGAGACAGGTAGCCTAGCGGTTAAGAGCGTTGCGCCAGTAACCGAAAGGTCGCTGGTTCAAATCCCTGAGCTGACTAGGTGAAAAAAATCTGTCGATGTGCTCGAGCAAGGCACTTAACCCCAATTGCTCCTGTAAGTCGCTCTGGATAAGAGCATCTGCTAAATGACAAAAAAAAACATTCTGCTAAATAGCTGCTTGTAAGCAGCCAGTGCTTAAAAAAACTAACTACATTGTCATTGCATAACACTTCGACAAACCAGAATCGTCCAATGATTTTAATAGAACGGGCTTGGAAGCAATTTGACTGGGTGCAATCGCAATGGCTTCCTGTTATTGTGATGCAATAATTTCCATGGTATTTTGGAATGTTCTATCAACTGATGCTGGATTGCCATGGTAATGTAGAATGTTCATTCAAATTATGCTAATGATGTGGCTTGCGTATTTTTTTTAAATAGATGCGGTAAAGAGGTCAATGGAACGCAGACCGTTGGGGGATAGAAGAAGGATGCTGGATAGGCGCACATTCAACAAATCTGATCTAATAAAGTGGATATTTGTCAAATCCGTCATGATTTATGTATTACAACAGACCCACAATGTGGTTACTAAAGTCTGATTTGGATATATTTGGCAGTTTTCGCAGCACAACATTTAGAAGTAGCCACTTTTCAAGTTCAGAAGAAGTGACTGCTAAATGCTAACTTCCTTCGTATACAGTTTTTTCCGACTGCTTACACACAAAATCTTTTCATGTCACACGATTTTTGAAACCTCTCACTCAAAGTGCAAAACTACACACCAAATCTCCAAAACCATAAGCTATTTCTCAGCCTTTGACTCAGTTGTCAATTGCATAAAACACTTTTTTCAAAACACTACACACAATTCTCACCCTAAAACACAAAAATCTAACAGGAAGTGACTTGCTTTCCTTTTCCAAACACAACCATTCAAAATGCTACACTTATTCACCAGGTCACACACACACTCTTCACATGTGCAAACACTAATTGCTTAACTGATCACTAACCAATCACTGCTTTACTGTAGTATAGGCCTATAAATAGGTCAAAGGTCAGATTACCTGTTTTGAACAATGGATGCCAACAATGGACAGAGAGCAAGAGGAGTAGGAGGGAGAGGCAGGGGACAACAACGAGGACAAATTCAAAGACGAAGTGTTGGAAGAGGAGGAGGAGGAGGAGGAGGAAGAGGAAAATGAAGAGGAAGAGGAAGAGGAAGAAGAGGACGAGGGCAAAGAAGAGAAGGAAGGAGATTTATTTATGTGGATGAGGTTGGCTTCAACCTCACCAAAACCAGGCGCCGCGGAAGAAATGTAAAAGGACAGAGGGCAATTACCAATGTCCCTGGACAGCGTGGGGGTAATATAACTATGTGTGCTGCCATCACTCAAAACGGGGTCCTCCATCACAATGCCACACTAGGTCCGTACAAGACCGGCCATAGGCTCACTTTTCTGGATGCAATTTACACAATGCTTGTCCCTGATCCAGATCAGGAGCCTGCTAGATTTGTGGTTATATGGGACAATGTTAGTATTCACCGGGCTGTTCTGGTCCAAAACTGGTTTGCCACCCATCCACAATTTGTAGTTTTGTACCTACCCTCATATTCACCTTTTCTAAATCCCATAGAGGAATTCTTCTCAGCCTGGCGCTGGAAAGTGTATGATTGCCAACCCTATGCCCGCATGCCGCTTCTCCAGGCAATGGAGGACGCATGTGGGGACATAGAGGTTGCCTCTGTCCAAGGTTGGATACGCCATGCTAGGAGATACTTCCCTCGATGTTTGGCAAGAGAAAACGTATCTTGTGATGTGGACAAAGTATTGTGGCCAGACCCAGCCCGGAGAAGAGATGAAGCGTAGCTTAGCACTGGTGACTGCCCACCCCCCTACCAATTCCTGGACTGCCCCCCCCCCCGGACCCCACACACACTTTTGTGTTCTTTACTGTATTCTAAAGAATATACTTTTGGTTTACATATGTTTATGGTTTTGTTGTATGCTACTGTATACAACAGTAATGTTTGGCCTAATAAATATTTTCTGTTTCTACATTGCATTGGTGTTTACAGTGTACTTGTTACCCCTCTCAGCAGATTACTTTCACTGTAGAACATTGTATTGGAATGTATATATAAGCCTATGAAAGACCAAAGGGCTTTAGATTTAGAACAACAGTGTTTACATGGTATATCCAAAAATTTACTATTATGAAAGTAGTGTTTGCCATTTGATGCAAATGCTTCATTCTGACATGTGTTTATGGCATTTTGAATGAAGTGTTACATTTTGAAGGAGATGTGAGGCATTTTGCATTTTGTGTGTGCAGTTTTGGGAATTGTGTGTAGAGTTTTGAAAAAAGGAGACATAGTTTTGAAAACGTGTGTAAGCAGTTGGAAAAAACTGTAAGCTGGTTAGCATAGCTAGCATACAGAAATTAGTGGTGGTAGTCAAAGTTGTTTTTTAACTGTAATGCAGTTGATTGGTGACGATGACATGAACATGTATTGGGGTTGACATCCATACAAGCATTATAAAACAATGTTTACCTCAACATAGTGTGAAATACACACATAAACAATAGCCTAAATGTAGGCTAATTTTGCTGTGGGGCAATGAGGAGATTCGGGATCTTTCCCCCACGGCATCTTTCCCCTACGCGTTTCCATGGCATTTCCATTGTTTTGGTCGAGTTCCATTGACTTCTACACCGCATCTAATGTATGTCAGTTGACTCAACAAATCACAGCACAGATTAAATGGTACACTTCCTGCTTTTACTTCCTGGCATGGGTCTAGGAGAGAATCTCAATTGTATACTCCTCACGTCCTCTCTCCTCTCTCCATGCCTCCTTCTCAAAACTCATTGGAGGAAAAGTTCAGAGAGGAGGGACCTCTGGCTTTCTCATCCAATTTGTTTTGAGAAGGAGGCGAGGAGAGAGGAGAGAGGACGCGAGGAGTATGCAATTGAGATTCTCCCTAGGTTCTTCAACCTAGGCATGGGTACACCCAAAATGGCTGCCAGTCCACCCATTATGCCATCATTGACTTGAATGGAGACGCCCTTTCTATTAATTATATTTCTAAAAGTCCACCACACGAATTAACTTGCCAATAATAATAGTTATAGTGTTTAATAACATGTATTAAACACTATATGTTACAATTATAAAAGAGCCCTAACAGTTTAATGATCCCTGGCTGGTTAATGAATGTGCTCGGGTTACTATAAAGGACTTTGTGACAAATACTGCTGTAACTATTTTTTTGTAAAAATGTTAGATTGATTGATCATCCTGTCTGACCTGTCTGCCTCCTGCGTGGCAGGCTTGGTGGTGACGCTCATCTCCCAGCGCAAGTCACCTGACTCGAACACCAGCAGCCTGCCCGTCTCTGTCCCCGCTATGACACGCTCCTCGGACATCCAGGTGTGCGACAGGAAGTTCTGGGACTCCAGCTTAAGGAAGTTGGACTGCTTCAGGGCACCCTCGGCATAGCGGAAGAGCTTGAAGACCCCATTGCCACTCACACAGATCTGGGTGTTGTCCTGCGGGTTAAAGCTGACCTGGGGGTGATGATGGGAGAGATGAAGATGATGAAGATGGGTCTTTGTGATAGAAGGTATGTAGTTATGATCTTGTTTATTGTGTGTGTGTGTGTGTGTGGTTGAGTATGTTATGCTCTGTGCTTGACTTGGACTGAAATAGGTTCTGGTACTCATTTTGGGTGCCGGTACTGTTTATATTTAGGTGCAGGAGCTCCACAATACTTTTGAGCTAATATTCTATAAGAGGAACAGGAGCTCAAGCAGTAGAAGATCTGAGGTGCCGGTACTCAGCTCGGGTGAGCTCCTGCCCAAGTCAAGCACTGGTTATGCTTAATTTTCGGTCTATCGATTATAGGTGTGTGTGTCTGTGTGTGTACGTGTGTACGTGTGCGCCCATAAGATATGTACATCCACAATTGTAGCTCAAAATGTCACACTTTTGTTTTCATTTCACCATTATTTGACCAGGATAAAATACCATCATGAAGTAAAGGCCCACTTCTCCCCTCTCTTCCCTCCTCTGGCCTGCCTATATCTGTCTCACACACCTGGTTGATGGGGTTGGTGGACCCCGTCGTCTTCACTGAGGCCATGACCTTCTGCTTCTCCCACATCCAGTAGAACAGGGTCCAGTCGGGGGCTCCTGCCTGCCCTATCAGGTACTTGGAGTCGGGGGAGAAGGCCATGGAGACAAACTCCAGCACCGGGACCTCTCCCCCACTGAGCACCTTCCTCTTCCGGCTCTGCTCGTGCTGCAGGTCGTACACGGTGATGGTGCCCTTCTCACCACGCTCTGACACGGCCAAGTAGCGGCGGTTGGCGCTGATGGCCAGGGCTTGCATACCCTGGCTTTTCTCTGTGCCTATGAGGAAAAATGGAGGGGTAGTGCACTACATAGGGAATAGGATGCCATTTGGGACGAACACCTAATGTTGTATATGAGGTTTTGGTCTTTGTAATTTTCATTTCATGTAGCATACCTTTATTTAACCAGGCAAGTTGATTGAGAACACGTTATCATTTTCCAATAAACGTAGCTAGCTAACTAAACGCATTTGATACAGTATGTACACCGCAAGAGAAGATAAGTATAGCTACAATTATTACTGTTATCATTTGGGAGCAACTACCTGGAATGAACCTCTGCCATCTCTGGTCAATGTTGTAGCGTACACAGTTGTTTCCGCATGGGAAGATGACAGTCTGCTCATCGAAGTAGCAAAGATTATTTATCACTCCTGTCCGCAATCCGAAGATGTAGTGACACTGGGCTACAATCGAAGCCATTGTTCAATCCGGTGGCACGTTATTAGAACCAATTTTTCGACTGTCTGTAAGTCAAAGCACACACACACACTTAGCTAGCCAGTCTGTCATGCAAACATGCAGCCAGGCTAAATTAGCTAGCTAACGTTAGCAGTTAGCGTTAGCTGAGAAAGTTATGTTTGCAATGCAAGCTAACTGGCTAGAAAGACACCCACTCTCGTGCATTGACACTAACCTGGTCCGTAGTTGAAACTTTGCAAAGGTAAGGTTAACTAGCAAGTTATGCACGTTTGGAACGTTTAGATAAGTGAATCCGTCTTTCTAAAAAAAGTTATCGTGCATCATGTTTTGCAAAACGGATGTGTTCTTCTGGTGTGTGTGGTTACCAAGGATACATGAAGCCGGAGCGATACCATAGCAACCATGGAGAATGCTGCGCAATCCTGGACCACTGGAAGGCGCCAAATACTGCACATTCTCTAGATGCGAGTGGCTTTGGCATTTCAATGATATCTAACTACTACTTATGCAATTTATGCGGCCTGATCATTTTAATATCAACTTCAGAATCATTTTTGATTGCACATTACTGTAACTACACTGTATAACAATTTATGCTCAAAATTAATTACATTTTAGTAAATAAAATAATAAATAAATTGGTCATTTAGCAGACGCTCTTATCCAGTCGGCTCGGGGATTAGAACCAGCGACCTTTCGGTTACTGGTACAACGCTCTTAACCAGTAACCACATACTGTATCAAATGCGTTTAACCACTAAACTATCCATTTTTAATCCATGGATCTGTGTTTCAAAAACTCCCAACACTCATCTGTGACATAAGACAGTATTAATATTCATGTACACATAATTGATATCGGTTGTAATTGGCTTATCCACCAACTGGCTGTTTGAAGTATGAAAGAAATATAGCGGTTCGATGTATTCTTTTGATACTTCCTCATATTCAATATTCCCGGTGTGAAGGTGGGTGTAATGTAATGCTTCTCTGAATTAGGATTAATATTTAAGAAATATTGAGAGCAATAAGGTCAGGCTAAAATGATAATGTAACCTTAAAACTATAAGCTATTCCTTATGTACAAATGTGATATTAGCAATGACAATGCGCTCCTGTTTTTGCCGTTTAACAGTGAATCCATATAGATTTTCTCCTGGTCCAAGAGTCACTGTAATACAAAGACATTGGATGTGTTGAGTTTGACTGGTCTGACCATCTGACAGTCAAAGGAGTCACAAGAAGCACCCAGAGAGGCTTTACAAAGAGATATTCTTCTTATTTGTACTTTACACTATAAACGGTATCAAATCACACAGGCCTTTACATAAAAGCAGCTGTTTACGAACAGGGAACAGCATTGATTTTCTGTTATATATTTATTTCATGAACACTGCAACATGGCTGTGAACATAATACAACTGAACTGACTAATTAACTGAATGAGGAAGAAAACATTGTTCCTGATAAAGATAAGCCAAAACAAATGACTCGTAATTCAAGGCCAATACATTTTTTTTTACCAAACAAATATGGGATTATATTTGACTATCACAACTGCTATAAATATAAGACTGTTAAAAAGTATTTATTAAATCATTTTTTTTAAAATTGCTTCTGTATCTAAAAAGTAACACATTTCAATTTTTTCCTTACAGAAATGATAGCAGATTATTGTTGTGTTGTTGTTATTTTATCCAATGGTTGTTATTGTGTGTTAAATGAGAATTGAAACCCCTGTGCATAATGAACTACACTACGGGGTGTAACATGGTAAATGTCAACCGTGACTTAGCTAAGTCTTTGGTGCCGTAGAATTACACAACAGAAAGGGTAAAGATGATTTTTCTCAAGTGGATATATGTGGTAAGGCTGTCAGGGTGCCAACCACATGGCCTTCGCCCTCACACAGTGTTCTGGGAAGAGGAGTCGTTTTCCATTGAGCTGCCTTCTGACCCTTGGCTGCTTTGGGGATGTCCACCTGTAGTAGGCCAAAGGAAAGACAGGGCAACATCGTGAGCATGCCAATTCGAGTTGTGTACCTCAGTTAACACCAAGTGTGGTCAGAGAATGTAGAAGTAGATGGTATGCACTGAGATTATGTTTGACTGTGTATGTATGGCAATAATATCCGCAAGAAACAGATAAATATAATACAATTTGGACAGGCGTTGAAAAACGTTGTCCTAGCTCTTCCTGTACTACAGATATGTTCCTCTGTTCTGCTATTATCAGTTGTTTATTTATTTTTTTATTTTTTGTTACATCCTCTGTAGCATTGGGGCCCCAGTGGCAGAGCAAGTGACAGTCTCTTGACATTATGCATTCCACTAACACAGTACGATTGCCAGCAACAGCCACAAACACACATACCTGTTCCATGTTCTCTGTCCTTAGGTAGAGAAGGCTGTGGTGGTGGATGCGACCTCCGAACCAGCTCCTCCGGGTAGCTTCCAGGACGAATGTCAGTGCCAGGGAGGTGAGGGGCAAAGGGCGCTCTGCCACCCTGGGTGCAAAACATACACATTCACATACAAGCAAACTTCCTTTTTGTCAGTGTTAATTTTCACCAAAATAACTATGCACTGTCATGTCATAGTATGTATAACAAATATTTAATCTGTCATGTCATAGGCCATACTGTAATGGCATCAACTGTAAAGCCCATTTTGACAGCACATTTACTTAATTATATATTTTTTAATTCTAATGATTTTTGGACTTACGTTGATAGGACCTGGCTCAGGTGAGTAGTGCATCGGGCCAGGTGGTGGAAAGTGAGGAAAACCCATTGGACCATGTCCGACCTTGAAAGACCCTGGTGGTGGCAGCGGCATGTTCACCAGAATGGCCGGACAAGCCGCATAGCCATTGGGGTAACGCGAGTAGAACTTGAAGGGGAACTGCATGGCCACCATTTCTCCAGAGTACATGTCTCTCTGGCCGCCAACCTCCGCTATAACATAGTCGCTGGGGAAATGTGGGCCGCCTGTGGTGAGGAGAGAAGTAAAGAAATAATGTACGTGCGAGTTGTACATACAGAATTGTGTGTAGGCTACATACTCATTTATAGAAAACCGCAGAAACGTATCCCAACAAGACAATAAAAAGGCGCCAAATTAGAGCTGTTAAATTCGCTAGCTACCTAACGTTAACCATGTCAGCTAGCTACCGAGTTGAGAACGTTTATCAACAATATTAAAATGTATATCATTGTTTTTATTATTATGTTTTTCAAGAATATAGCTGGCGCTACAAAAACACATGCATGTTGAGTGAAGTTACTCAACAAAATAATGATCCACTTACTTCGACTCATCACTGAAGGCGCATCCTGAATCCCACTCCAAGGTGCCCCATAACGACCATCTTCCACACGATGATGATCACCACCTCCAGGGGTGTTCCATGGGCCGAGGCCATCCTTGGCAGACTTGTCGTCGGCCACTGCTGCCATGGGGACCTCCATCTCCGCATAGGTCCTGCCGTCTGCCTCTTTAAACCGTTGTGGTGGCATCTTGATGACTGTCTCTGTACGGGTTCCAGGGCCAGGAGACATCACCCCAGATGTGTCGGGCAGATGAGCGCTTTCCTCCCGGCCGCTCAAAGTGCCATCAACCGCTGTATCACCCGGCCTTGACCACGCCAAATTAAGTGCTGATTCTTCTTTGTTAGTTTTCTTGATCCGTCTTTGGAATGCCATTATTTTCGTTCTCTCTGCAATCAGAGAACATTTCCAACAGTTGCATTTAAGAAATTGACACTGCCCAGAATGTCCCTTGAGTTGAACAATGAATCCATGATTTCTGCATCTGGCACACTTCGGGTTTCTCTGACTTTTTTGCGGTTTGGAAACATTTGACATGATGAATTCTACTTAGCTAGCTAGCTATCCGCGATCAAGAAGCCTGCAAGTCAAGCAAAAGTGATCCGAAAATTGCTTAATTTTCCCACTGATTTTGTTGCTAGCTAGGCTTGTCACGATCATGAGCTTTCAGTCAAGAGACTTTTCACTCAGTAACCACACAATTTAAAACGGCGCGTGCCACGTGACGTGAAACCTTGTATCTATTTGGGCGTGGGAAAAGTTGACAAACATTGTTCCCATGAGTGTGGCAAATTGAGTGCCAAATATACAAAATGCAATTTAGTAAGTTTCAGAATGGGCTCATGCATGCTGATTTTGCACCCAATGTCTTATCAATGTGGAATTAAATGTAAAACACTATATTTAACATTATACTGTAAATATTTGTATGATTTATGAATAATTTATAAATGTAAGGTTAATTAATTGTAGTTGAAATACCAGCAGAAATGGCTACTTTTCTTCAATTAAACCTAAACTATATCTAAACACAGAAATCTGAGTATACCATTCTTAAACGAATGATATGAAATTTACACCACCCATCCCATTTGTCATTTGTCAACCATAAAATAAACTACTAATCGCCTGATAATGAGGCCTCTTCAACATAAAACCTCATAATCTTATAGTGTATGTCTGCTAGGGTCTGGTTGTATGTGTTGCCTAGGTGATGGGGGAGAGGAGGTTGTGATTTATGATGGTGTCACTCAGCTGCCATTAGGCTGTCTATGCTCGGCTGCACAACGCACCACTGTGTGTCGTGCTACATCAGTCAGTTCAGATGTACACCAGCCTCCTGGCTCTGAGGTTCTGCGGGGAGACAGCGTGAGACAATCCCAAAACCACTGAATAGTATCCGAGTGTGAGTGATTGAAAGTACAGAACAGTGCTTGTAAGGCAGCAGCGACTGTGGCGTACATGCAAACACTATACTGTATACATGACATGAATAGCCAACACCGGCCGGGGCTCAGTCTATATGTGGACCTAGGAGTATGATGGTAAGATTATACTGCAGGGCATCCAAACTCAAAACAACAGTTGTGCTAAGGGGAATAATGAGGTTCAGGATACAGTACATGCGTCCTGTTCCAATACTCTTCAATCCATCCTTCCTTCCATCCTTGATGTAATCACTGATCTGACATCACTAGATTGGTGTAAGCAAGCTTTCCATTACATACAGTATCGTTCACCAATTATGTAATGTCAGAACAGTGATAACTTAAAGGAAGGAAGGAAGGATGGATGGATGCGTCTTAGAGTATTCAAACAGGGCCCGTGGTGTCTTCTGGAAATGAGATCATTGACTGGATATAAGGTGACAGATGCAGATCAACTAATTGGCAACTATTTGGCAACTCAGCCGAGACAGCCCCACCACCATCAACTCTCACAGCATTGGTATAAGCTGTGGGAAGAGACTGGCATTGGTATAGGCTGTGGGAAGAGACAGGCATTGGTATAGGCTGTGGGAAGAGACAGGCATTGGTATAGGCTGTGGGAAGAGACAGGCATTGGTATAGGCTGTGGGAAGAGACTGGCATTGGTATAGGCTGTGGGAAGAGACTGGTATTGGTATAGGCTGTGGGAAGAGACAGGCATTGGTATAGGCTGTGGGAAGAGACAGGCATTGGTATAGGCTGTGGGAAGAGACAGGCATTGGTATAGGCTGTGGGAAGAGACTGGCATTGGTATAGGCTGTGGGAAGAGACTGGCATTGGTATAGGCTGTGGGAAGAGACAGGCATTGGTATAGGCTGTGGGAAGAGACTGGCATTGGTATAGGCTGTGGGAAGAGACAGGCATTGGTATAGGCTGTGGGAAGAGACTGGCATTGGTATAGGCTGTGGGAAGAGACAGGCATTGGTATAGGCTGTGGGAAGAGACAGGCATTGGTATAGGCTGTGGGAAGAGACAGGCATTGGAAGAGACTAGCGTTGTTATAGCTCCTGCCTCCTCAGTCATGAAGCTCCCATAGTGTCTGTCTGGAACTAGACAGAGGTGTCATTTAAAGTCTGAAAGGTTTTTTTTGCAGGTAAGATGCTGTGCTCATAGGTAGTGGGTTTTGCATTTGTATTAACGTTACACATTTACATTTTACATTTGAGTCATTTAGCCGACGCTCTTATCCAGAGCAACTTGCCGTTAGTGCATTCATATTTAGATAGCTAAGGTGGGACAACCACATATCACAGGCATAGTAAGTACACTTTTCTTCAATACAGAAAGTCATCAGCAAAGTCAGAGGTAGAAGGGGGGGATCAAGTTCAAGTGTTAGTTCAGGAAAGTATTATTATGTATTAACACACACTGCATTATTTTGATTCAGGTCCAGTGATTTGGTTCAGGTCCAGTGATTTGGTTCAGGTCCAGTGATTTGGTTCAGGTTCATCCATTTTAGCGATTTGCCTTTGTCACCACAGAGAATCACAGTGACCACATACTGTGTAGCTACAGATATACAGTGCATTGGGAAAGTATTCAGACCCCTT